TGTGTGTGTGTGGTTTAGCAAGATAACTCGAGAAGCAGTGGATGGATTGGAATGAAACTTGGTAGGTGGGTAGGTCTTCATGAGACCTAGAAATTATTAGATTTTGGGCCCCCTGGCGGCTTACCTAGGTACTGCAGCAGAACTTCCGGTTTTGATATCTCGTGATCTGGACATGCTAGGGTCACGAATTTTGAAGGGCAGATAGCTCTTGGGATAGGGAAGAAGTGACATGAGTTTGGGTCCCCTAGCGGCTTGTTCTGGGACTGCAGGAGCATTTGTTGAAAAATTTTCGAAGGAGGATAACTCAAGAACCGGTTGACGGATTGTCGTGATTTTTGGTATGTAGGTAGTTGAAGTGATGCTTGACATGATCAAACAACAATTATGCAAATCAGGAGCTAATTTGCATAATTAATGAGGAAATTCTATAAATCTTCTTTGTTCGATAATAGAACTATGAAACACTTGTGACATCACTTGTGAGAACGAGAAAAAACATCTGGGGATATAGATTATGTAAATGAGGACCTAATTTGCATAATGAATGGTAAATTTGTATAATTTCATAGTTGTGACTGTTGGGAATTTCATACTTGCCACATTTGGAAGTTAAGTGAAGGTGAACATCAACAAACATAATTTATTCAAATCATGACCTCATTTGCATAATTTATGAGGAAGTGCTATAATAGCATTTTTGTTAAGATGAGGCTGTCATTGGGTGGAGAATATGATCAGCTGATATAATCCATGCAAATGGGGCTCTTATTTACAAAACCAATGATTAAAATTGTATACTTTGTCAACCACAAGGGTTAACATCATTTGGCGAAGGTATGAGATCGTGGAACTCTTGTTTTTAATAAATTGCGCATTCATAGTTGGCTCCTCCCACCGCGGGTACAGACAGATCTGACCCGTGCCGATGTCAATCACCAATACCCGATTCTAAAGTCGGACTCGGGCCGGGTGCGGTGAGTTGATGACGACAGAATGAATTATCCATATTTGGAAAGCCTGGTTCCACTGAGTTAGAGAGACTTTCCATCAAGCTTTTCAGGGGCCGACTGGATGTTGGGCGGCCGGCATCCGAAAAGCGATTTAATCGGGCTATGTCACTCCTGTCATGTACATTTTGTAACTTCATACTTTTACATGTACATGTAAAAAGTATGGTACTCAGTACATTGAAAACCCAAAACACTTCCCATGGGTTTGAAATCTCCCATTTCTTCTGGTAGAGTTTCTTGGTTAAGTGAAAGTGAAATTTACCTATCCAGTTCATCAAAGTTGACATTGAACTGGACATCAGGCTGGCGAGTCAGTCCCTTGTACAGGTCAGTAGATATGACATTCTGCAGAAGAGTCTCTCCAGAAACGTTGACCACACTCCCAGCCTGATCCACATAGAACCCCAGGAATGTCATGGTGTTGTGGTCAGCATTGAAGAACAGGTATGGGTGAGGGCTGTGGAGAAATAAATATAAACAGAATATATTTTGTAAGGATCAGATTACATGTACATTGTCTGTGAAATACAATTCTTAGACCTTAATAGTAGTTAGATTTCATTAGAAGAAATGATTATGAAATTCAATATTGAGTAACTAAAACAATTCAAAAGAAACTAATAGGACTTCAAGGAAGACTTTAAAAATGAAAGTGTGTAGCTTTATCAAGAAGCACCTGTTCTCCCAGGTTCTCCTCAGCTGTAACTGTTGAATCTCTGCCTGTTTCTGATCATCGGAAGGAGATGCCTTTAGGGAAGGGCTCTGGTCACTCATGTTCAGGGATGGAGTAGCAAAATCCTGCAGTATGCAAAGTGCTGGTTGTCATACATGATCAATACATGTCATACATTACATTGTAGTTATCATATAGCCAGTAGACGTCGACTAATCAGAAAGCTTCATTTCTCATTGGTTATCAAGCCATTACCTCAAAAGTGGGAGATTATTCAGATAACCGCCCACTTTTTGGACCGTACCATTAGAGGGGGACAGGACACCGTACCATTAGAGGGGGACAGGACACTAACAGTAGTATTAAGACTTGTAGTACCATATTTACCTAATAGTATGAAAAAACGTAATTTATTTTGAATAATTTTCACTGTACGAAAAGCCGAATTTCCACAAGTTTCCGAGCTGGGACATGTTGGTGAAACCTGGGGTATCCCAGCCGCATAAACATTTCCACGGGTGTCCCATCCCGGCGTGTCCAATTTAGGAAACCCGTGCACACAATGGGACACGCGAAGTGTACAAGATTTCCCACTGTTGGAAATGTCTCGTGTCCTGACTAATTATCGTCACAATGGAGAGATGAGAAGTGCCTTATATTATAAGTGTTATATGTGGCAGTATCCATCCTAAGAAAAAGGCACGACAACCTATACAAACAGTTTTATGTTATTTGTTTAGAGACACATACTGCAAAGTTCTTACCACATCGGAAGGGGATTTCGCGAATATGACCCATACAGATCAGAATATTCTGATTAACCCCCGCTAAGAATCTAGTAGCAGGATATGCAAAGCTTGGTATGAACGGGGTCTAAGAGTTTCCCGAAGTTTATCTCTAGTACATGTCGTTAATGTTTTCTGTACATGGCCCTAGAGCATGGATGTACAATAAAATAATAAATGATAATTAAAGTAATTCTTACTCCGCTTTTGTCAATTTTCTGGTAAAAATGGCGTGAACCCAATACATTTGAACTACCTGGTATGTAACACCTTTAGTGCACTATGCACCAAGTAACATCTACTGTAGTGTCAGTGCACAGTAAACCAGTCAGAATTGCCCTGATGAAGATGACTGACGGTCATTGAAACGTCGGCTCTTGAAAAATAAATGGTTGTGATGAAAACTTTGCTATTCAGTCGTTTACCAACCTGATGAAGTTATTTACGGATCCCTAAATACTCATTTGTAAAAATCCTGGATTTACATGTAGTACATGTACTATGCTACCATGCAGATTTAGGTGACAGAAGTAAAACAAAGTGCTTTTTCAAAAAGCTGCAATTTTTGCCTCAATGAAAAGGCTTACAGTATTTATATAACTGGTGGATAGTTGAGGAGTATATTATGATGGGATATGGTGTGTATATGATGTGTGTGGTTATTAGAATGATGTGAAACTGCTAATAAAGATGAAGTTTATCATTATGATGGACAGTGAAAGAGGAAATTGACTACTATTTGAATTTATGTGGATGTCCAGGAAAAGGTTACCTTGGACATGATAATCATGAACTGCACAACAAACTTCCTGAAGCCAGGGAAGACGTCTCTGTTGACGTCCAAACAGAAGGCAGAGTTTTCACAGTCCTGCAGCTGGTAGTTCAGGAAGGACAGGAAGTGCAGCAGCTCAGCCCAGGATGGATCCTCCATGCCACAGTAACTGGATTATCATTCACAAACAACAAAAAAATAACTTTCTAACTTGTAGGCTTAATCAATGAAGCTCTTCCATAATCCATAATTTTGTGCTTTAAATCCGTTTCATATACTTTTTTGTAGGCAAGTCCCCAATTATATTAGCTACAGTTGTTAAGCCAAAACTACTAACTAAATACACCACCAAAAGGTACAATTTGTATATTAATAATTATTGTACTAAAAAAAGTTGTACTAAGTTAGACCTACAACTATCTTAATCATTGTAGAGCTCTCAGAAAATAAAATTTATTCACCTCTCTTGGATTTGCATGAATACACAAATCTCTGTGTGCTATTAAATAAATCAAAGCTGATGTCAGAAGTTATGTGTTAGTTTTTTGTTTCACTTGACATAATAGCCAGTATTATAATAATATAGTAACTACCTGAGAACTGTGTGTAGGAATTCCTGATGGGTTCCTTCTGTGCTGGTGGGTGTGAACACGAAGGTGTCCAGGTTGATGTTGGCCATCCACCTCCGGAGGTACTGGTACGGACGCTGGTACTCCACACTCCTGAACATCACCTCATTCACCTGATGCGAACCTACCAGAAACAGTCACAAGTTTTTTTACCTAGTACATTGTACAAGCTGGCGACTTCTAATGCATGGGGATCAAAAACTTTCTTTCTATAATTTATGGACACTTGAGTCTCTAAAGGTTACAATTGTGGGGGCATTACTGACTTTGCAATAGAATGGCTCCCTCAATATGAATTTAGGTAGGTTATACACTTAAAGTTAAACTTAAACTTGATGTTATACAGCAGCTATTTTGAGCATTGAAAAAAATTATTGAAACTACAGGTCTAGTATAGAGTTCTGTACAAAGTTTTTGTATCATAAAATTCTATTCTAATTTTTGTTTACTTAATTTCATCATCAACGCCTGAACAGAGCAAAATTACCAAAGTGTCCAAAGTTTTGCGTAGCTGCATTCATAATGTACATTCACGAAAAAGTCTCACAGCTTGTAATGCAGAGTGTGAAGACTGAAGGGCTCATGAATAGTGTGAGTGAATTTCTTATCCAAGTATGTTATTTACATTTAACATTCTCGAAATTCAGTCATCGAAACCTGACCACTCTCTGACAACTAGCAATAGAGCGCCGTGAGTTCGAGCACATAAAAAAGCGTCCAATGTTAGGGCACCCCCCGTTATCATTTCAAAAGTCAGCATACCTGGAATATCATGTTGCTTTTTTGTCAGCAAGCTGTAGGTCTGTCTGGGAGATATACAAGTCACACTTGGAAGCATGGACACAAAAGACTTGTGCTCTTCTCTGTTCTTCTGTAGAATAACAGAAAGCAATGGCTAGAGTTGGCAACACAACAATACTGTACATTACTTGCCCTCTAGATCTACATTCAAAATTTCCAACATGAAGCTGTCTTGGTTGTCTAGCATCAACCAACATCATTATTAATTATTATATCATATAATTAAAATAGACATGATAGACTCTGAGGAACATTTTACGGATGGCCATCAAAGTGGCCAATCTAGATGCATATTTGTACAAGGCGTTTCGCTGTCCTGGACATCTTCATTTTCACAGTAACTGTGGTTAGCCACAACTGTCATAGAAATATACCTTAAGTAAAGCTTTTAAAGTAACTTAAGATATTTCACCTGTGTGTCAGCAGGCTGTGGTTTGTAGGTGTGTTCCACCACATACAGGTCCCAGGGGAGACGTCTCCACACAGACCCGTCCCTCCCCACCAGACTACCCAACACCAACAGGTTAAACAGCAGGCAGTCCACTCCATTATGAACCTACAAACACGATAACCAACATTGAAAAATGACTTTAATGTCTGAACAAAAAAGTTAGTAGAGGAGTTCAGATCCATACTAGTTGTTCACAATTAACTTTTTTTTTGGTACAGGCTACTTGACATTGTACATGTACAAGTCATGTAGTGCATGGAAAGCAGCAATCAGTGCAATATTATGTAACGTCAGTGAACCTTAATCCGACACTTTCAACACCTCTTTGTCTGTTAGGATCTAGCACTGATATGCAAAATCTTTTAATTGCTTTACAAACCCAATAAGGTATACAGCATAAAAACTTGAAACAGTGAGCTCATGAAGTCAACATGTTGTGGAGACGAGGTCATGAAATTTTCAGCTTGTTTTTATACTGGTATAATAAGGCATATCGTGGGAGGAAGCTTCTGGAAGGACAGTGGTCAAAACATTCACAATTTCTCCTTTACATTGCCATGCTACACATTCAACGTCACAGCGAATAAAAAAACAATTGATAAATTAAACTGCTGTTGCTGAAAAACCACTTGCATAGAAGTGTCCTTCTTTTCAAGCACAGAGCGAGTTCGTTACGGTCATTCAGCGGCTGATCGAACAAAACCAGCATTTTGAACGGGACCCCAGAAAGTGCGAAATGGAACGAAATGGAATGAAATGGAATGAAATGAAACGGAATATGTACAAAAATGTATGAAGTACGTTGGATTATTTCGTTTAATTATATCGCCAAAATTAGTGACGAATACTTCGAAATAGTGCAGAATAAAGTTTTCTGTATGGTAACATTATCGTAAAATTCTTCAATTATTCCTTTCTTGGAACTAAAATGCCCCGTCGTAACTGATTTAAATGTGGTCCCCTCTTTGAAAATTCAATAGTCCCAAGCCACGTGATCTGATGTAGAGCTGCCGGTGGTGCAGCGGCTTACCGACTGTGACATTTGATGCCGATGACAACTAGTGTATTGTATTGTGTTATTTGACAAAGGAATTGAGAAAAAAATGTTGTTGTGAATAGCAAAATTACAGGCAAACAGCTACACCGTTGCATGGTGTCGGATTGAGGTTTCCCAACAGAATACGCAGGGCACGGTGAAATCGGGACCGATGTTGAAGACCCAATTTTCCCGCGATATCTCATTGGTTGGGAGAGTGACACACACATAACTAGGTATGACGTTAAAAACGAGGAAAAATGTCACCCCAATGTCATTTTTGTTAATTTGCCAAACAATCTGCCCGCCGCACGTGTCCCTCCCCCTTCCGGTCAGTCCCTTCTCACTTCCGCCCAGCACGGCCCGGACACATGTGCTCCCGCCGTCATCCCTCACAATCGGACAGAGCTAGGCGAGGACGCGCACGTGGCCTCGCTCTCCCCTCTATTCTATTCTCAGTTTTTCGTTTCTTTATTCACGTTTGCGGTTCGCGATGACTAAACCGAAAGCCTGTACAGTCTGCAGGCTGCCAGTGAAGGGGCATGTTGGTCCTTACGGTCCCAGGAAGTGCGGCGTGATCCTCTCGTCACCACCAGACGCCTCGGCCCGGCAGTCTCTGCAGAAGCTGCGGCGGGAGAGCCGAATCAAAGACCTGGCAAAGGGTCTCTGGTCAGAGGCGAGCGACGGGGAACAGGCAACTGTACGTGACCTCCGTGAAGACAAGGCCTTGGCCAGACGTGTCGAGCAGACTTTGGACGAGATCTTCGGCAAAAAGAAATCGCCAGCGTCATCCAAGAAAAAGGTCCGGATCCCGTCAGACGACGACACCCTCTCGCGGTCGAGCTCTTCTTCTCCGGTGGCTCACACCTCTCGCCGCCCCCTCGTAACCTCCTCGTTGGAAGACAGACCGAAGTCCCGTCGCCACAGTTCCCGGCATTGACTGTATTCCTCGTCGGCCAACAAGGCCAAGTCTCACCGCAGCACTACCAGAAGCCGACGAAAAGGCAACAAGTCGCTCCTGGCCAAACTCGCCTCCGCCTTCACTTGTTTTCACAGCTAATTAGGCAACAAGATGCAATCAATGATTAATGAAAATACCGAATGTCTGGTTGTGGATTAATCATTCAATCTTGCCTGACCTGTGCATAAAAGTGTCGGATTAAGGTTCACTGCTGTTTGGTTTGATACCTGGTCCATCAACTTCAATGAAGGTCAATTCAGTGCTGTACTTTTACAATGTCTAATGGTAGTTGACCTGCTTTCAAGTATGTCTAAGTTTATATTTTAGTATCATGACAATTTCGTGAATTAGGGTTCTAGCCATCCTGATTTTTTTTTCTGCCAGTCAACATGTCGAGGTCCGGGTCCTAGGGGGTTCGGAGGCATGCTCCCTGAAAATTAGCACACGATGCAGATGTAGGCAACCACGGGGGTAATTGGAATCCGCTGACCAGTTAAACTTAAGTAAACACGAATCCAATGACTAAGAAAACACAAATCTAATGCCTTCAGGCAGGCATTAGAATTTAATGTAATCATTTTATCTAAATTGAAAATTTGCACTAATTTCCTGGAAATCTTTGAAAAAATGAAGCTCTGCCCATATCTTTTTGTTTTCATAGATTATTATATAATCATTATGCCGAGATTTTTGTCCAACAAATATGACGGCATGGGCAAAATTTTTGTCCATCATGAATGGCAAAATTCTGTCAAATGACAGAAAAATGACACTGGCTAGAACCCTGCTGTGAATGTATACCAGTAGCTTCTTTGATGGAAAATTTGAGTTGTATTCCATTCAGGCCCTGTGGAAGCTGGCTGAGGAGCTACTTAAACGTCAGATCAAACAAGTTCCTACCAATGGAGAGATGTCCAGATGGATGATTCGAGGAAAGGGGCTGGCTGGGTTGACAGAATGAGGGAGTAGCGCCTCCAGAACTGCATCGTTGTTCACAGTAGCCTCGTGCAGAGGAACTTTGATGTAGGACAGTCTCCTCCGCAGCCTCCTGGGAAGCTTCATCCTTAGTTCTTCAGAGAGACACTGGACAACAAGGGACTTGCCGACACCTGCACGCTGGGAAGATACCACTCGTACAGACGACCTGAAACATAAATCATTCAGTTCTGTAAAATTTGTGCAAAATTTTTTGTGCAATGGAAAATATACTAGACAAACTTTACCAAACTCATTGCTTGAAAACCTTGCCCTCTCACTTCTTTTACTTTACTTTTAATTACATGTAATATACTTGGATCAAAACAACTAACAAGCAGGACATACTGTATAACGTGTCTCATGCAGGACAACTGTCAAACAGCATTGAATTCTATTTTAAAAGTTAGGACAGGTGTACGGCAAGGATGTCTACAGTACCTTTTCTGTTCATCCAGGCAGTAGATCTAGACTGGATCATAAGGACTACTATATAGAGGGAAGGATCAACAGAATACAAGGAACAGTGGCTACAGGCGAGACATGTACATGTACTCAGATGATCTGGACTTTGCTGACGACCTACATGTAGCTCTTCTCTCACACTCCCACAGCCAGATGCAAGACAGTCAACTGAACTCAACATCTGCTAGAGTTTGACTTTAGATCAACAAGAACAATACAGAAGTCCGATCCTAATGGTCAACCCCAACACTAAATTATTCCAATACACAGTATAATTATGTAGGTCAGCAATCAAGGAGGTGGAGTCCTTTGTCTAACTCAAGTTGGAAGTGTGATGGACCAACAGGGAGGCACATAACAGAATCAAGCTGGATAAAGGAAGATCATCAGTGGTCTATGTGACACATGGCGCCAAGGCCAGGACATAAACAATATAGTGTAAACTTCCTTTATTTTTGCTGGGACTTAGTTTTGCTATTATAATAGGATTTGCTCATAGCAAAGTAATATCAACTAATTAAAAGAAATATATTTCCTGTACCGTTGGTGATCTACCATGGATGCCAACAGAGTTGAGCCAGCGTGCTGCAGCTGGAACTGTGACAGCAGATACTCCTGTATGCGCTCATGGGAGAACACATGTGGGATGGGCACCTTGTACTGGTCCAGGGCAGTCACCATGTACGACTGGTGCTGTCTCTCTGATGCACACACTACAACGACATGGTAGTCTAGAGATGGAACAGGAAATATACATTAATTTAAAGTAATGGGTGGGGCCCTAACTTCACCACAGTGACGTTTTTCTGAATCTTATTTTTTAAAGGCCAATGTTTTGCAGTGTAACAGTTATAGTACGCACTTACAGTATAAAACGTTGTTGTTGTTTGACTTAACATAACATGTTATCATCATGGTGATTGATTGAATTTCAAGGACATACATGTGTAGGTCATGCTGGTTATTACCTGACGTAATATTGTGTATGTTTGTGTATATAGGTGTACCCTAAATTTGCCACTTTTATGGACAGAAAGCGTCCAAAAACGAGGTGCCCTTGCTGTGCATCCTATCAGCCCTTTCTTGCTCCCCAATCTCCGCTTGGCTAGACATGAACAGAACACTAGTACTAGTAGTAGTAGTACTGTATGTATATCAATCTTTATTTGATAATCCTAGTTTGGAAAGTAACAATAATTTAAAAGTAACCTGAACACTGTACCTTTCCACCTCAAAAACAAACTTTAGGAAATATTAAGTTGGTGAATTGACTGTAAAGTGGCCAATTTAGGGACCCCTCATTATGCAATATTGTTTTGATTTTACAGTTTGTGATGCTCAAGTAATGCAGTTCACACTAATCTAAAATATCAACATTCATACCTGAAAACAACAGGAATTTTCATTTCAAAAAGTCCATAAAATGTTAACTTAATCATGCAACCTGAGATCAATTTGCACTTTGACCCTCAATATCTTGATTATCATTGTTCCAGATGGACATGTTGTCTAAAATGTCAACACCAAGTGCATGTATCCAACTTGAGTTCAAGGGAGACATGCCTTCGCCATGTAAAGAAGTGTTTTTTCAAATTGTTAGTAATTTGAACTTTTTAAGTTATGGTGGTGTAGTCTTGTCTTTATTGACTCCTTAGATCTACATCTTGGGACTACCCCTCCATCAAAGCCACTTAGGTCACAACAAACATAATACCTACATACAGTTACACAGTTCCAGGGACAAGCACCCCCTGTTCTAACATCACCTAGATTTGATGCAATTAACTTTAAGTTAACATTTGCAATGCCTGTTACACATTTGGTTCCCCCTTCCGGATTTTGAATTTCAAGTCTACAAACACGGTAACATCAATGGACATCACATATGGCCATCACCTGATTTTCCTTGGAAGAGTTTGCACCTCATCTCCTCTGCCCTGACGCTGACATCATAGTCCAGCTGGTCAGCAGCGACCAGACAGAAGATCCCTCCAGTCTGGTCTCCTACAGCTCTTCTCCACAGGAGGACCACCTAACATTGTGATGATTAAAAGGTGATTCAGCATTATATATATTGAGTATTGTAATACTCAAGAATAATATGAAACAACAATAATATTGTACATCATAATCAATGTCAGAATAGAAGATTAAGGACCTGACCTCTTCCAGAGAAGTGTGTGGAGTACAGATGAGCACCTCCCTGAAGGAGGGGAGAGGTTGTCTGGTCTGGCCCTGCATGTACAGGGACAACACTGTCTGCCAGATGTCATCTGGAAATGGATGAAACAAGGAGTGAACAACACTGATCAATGGCGCAAAAGTGGGATTTTTTTTCCACAATAGTCTACAATAGTCTGAAGTTATTCCAAGAACAAGGAATGCGGTACCTATCTTTTACAATCTGCAATACTTTAGTCAAATAATCAATTAATCTCAAGCTTTTTAAAGCATGGAAAAGACAGAATCTGCCACAACTATAATAGTTCCAGTACCTTGGGGACACACTACAAGGTTGGGCTTGCCCGCATGTATGAAATGGCTTGGCCAGTGTCGACCTAGAGCGATATTTGCTGGAAAATAAGTAACATTACCAATATATCAGATGTGCATGTACATTTTGTACTTCAAAGCTTGTAATTAATACAGATCTTATCAATGTACAAGACAGATAAATTTGGGATATACATGTAACTCCGTTACATGTGTATCCAGGTTTTTAAATAGAAATCTTACATGCACGTACAATTGGATGAAATGAGCGAGTTTCGCATAACAGAGTATGATATACATACATTATCCTCGACATCATCTGAAAGGTTTAGTATGAATTACATACCAGTGCTGGCAAGATTCCTCAGCACCAAGGCCAGGTGGTCAATGCTGATGTACTCCTCAAACGTGGTGGACTTGACAGTGGTCAGGTACTCCTTCCAAACTGACTCCATTCTTTTGATCATCGTCCTAGAAATGCAGACTTTGGTCACATCCATATTCTATTGTCAATTTTTTTATTTTCCAACATGTGCAACAATTTAGGAAATATGTACATCTATATATTACCATTAATAGTACACAAAAGCAAACTTTAAGATACCTGGTTAAGATACCTGGTAATTGTCAGTGAGCTAAATGTATGTACACAAACAAGTACATTGTAGATCGTTACCACAGCATGTATTGCCATGAAGCAAATTTTGTTAAGTAGAGTAACATTTTCAAGTTTGTTTATTTTGTTTATTTGAAGGATCTCCATTACTCAGTATATATATATATTAGCATACGCATATTCTCAGAATTCTTCCTGGAGTCGTAAAAACACATTACAAACTTATAACACAGATGTATGTATGTCTAGATCTTGCTTATTGCCACACACAAAATACTAACAACCTGTAACTATTACCTATCCTATCCTATATACATGTACAACAACAAGGGAAAAAATTGGTTAACTTACATAAAAATAATCACTACGCTACCACCAATGCTGCAGGGGTCTGTTTGTGCATGTTTGTGTTTTTAACCTGTCCTTGTTTCCTGTGTTTTTTGAAAGCTGATGGTGCGGATGATTTGATGTGTTGCGGAAAAGTGTTGTAGGATTTTGTGCACCTATACAAGAATGTCCTTAGTAGCAGAGGATGTTATGGGTTTTGGTAGTCTAAAGCCTCCCGCGTGTGAAAGTCGTGTGTTGTGTTGATGTGTGTCGTTGATTTTGCATAGCTTATTGTAGATAATAAGAGGTTTGCCAGTAGTCAGGAGTTTGTGGAACGTGGAGAGTGTGTTTGTGTAAAGTCATTCGTTAACTCTGGGCCAGTGTAATCTACTGTAAAGTTTGTCGATCCTGCAGTTGTACTCTGCATTCAAAACAAGCCTAGCCGCCTAATTTTGTAAAATCTGCAACCCGCTCAGGTCAGATTGAGAACTGGATGATAGAAGGCAGGAGCAGTAGTCCAGATGACTCAGGACAAGTGTTTGAGTTGCAGTTTTTAACGTGTCACCCGTGAGAAAGTCACATGATCTTGCAATTGCTGCTAGAGCACTTGCCATTTTGGATTTAACTTTGTCAAGGTGTTGCGCTAAGGTTATAACTGCTGGTCTATCAATAATCGTAGCAGTTTTGCCTGTTCTACCTGTTCAATTGTTGACAATGCCTACACTATGTATGAAAAATACACAACCATTCAATGCAACACTTCATGTCACTCTACAACTCACTCTTTCCTGGGTTCCTCTCTGGACAGTGACATACTGGTGAAGCCTGCAAGGGACACGGGTTCCTGTATGGAAGTTAACATCATGATACTGCTGTCTTCTACCATTTCTGGAATCACATCTTCCACATTTTCAGCAACCATTTTTTCCTCCTCTCCCTCATTGCTGTTGAGGTACTTGTCGATGATCTCGTCCTCATCCATGTTGCTGATGCACCAACTGACAGCCTTTTCCATGTCTCCATTGGTAGCCTTCATGGCTGCCGTGGCAACGCGATCCGTCAAATCAGCCACCTTCTGTTTCAGCTTCTCCACGAACTCCTCTCTTTTCTCCTCATCCATGAACAACATAGTTGCTGTCTCTTCATTCGTTTGCTCTTCTTCTACGTTCTCTTCTTCCATTGCTTCAACGTCACCCACAACACGTGACATGGCCTTCCTGATGTCTTCCTCAGTGCACAGTGGCTTGATGCTGGACAACAAGGCCAGGACTTGGGGGGTTGCCATTTCATTGAGGTTGATCATTGCCAGAGCTTTACGGAGAACCACGATCTGCTTGGTGGTGAAGTGATTCAGTTCGTCGTACTCCAGCCTGGCTTTGTCCATGGTGCCAAGCCACTTGTCCAGACACTCCTCCATGTACTTAGCCAGTTGGGTCAGTTGGTCCTCAACGGCTGCCCTTGTGCCGTGGAGGGCTTCTGTGCCAAAGCCAAAGTTGACCATGACCTTGACCTTTCTGTTGCCTTCGCAGTACACGACTGCATTCCAGTTGTTGAACAGGACTGCTCCGGCATTGTAGAGGTAAACGTAGGCCTGGCCAAGTCTCGTCACACCTGTCAGAATCTGAAATGAGGGAGAGACTGATTGATTGACTGATTGATTGATTGATTGATTGACGGATTGATTGATTGACTGATTGGCTGATTGATTAATTGACTGATTGGCTGATTGATTGACTGATTGAGCAATGAAAGAAAATGATAACTAAATCACCATGCTAAGTCGATAAGAATATTACCAAAATCCAGCAAGCTACTTTGCATAGAACTAACGCAGGAGTACATGACTTGTACATTTGGATACAACGGGCACTTAGTGTGTCAAGAAAATGAATGATGCACATCTGGTCTTAACAAATATCAGAAAACATCTGACCTCCACAAATCTGTCCACTTCCTGGCTGCCCTTGTCAGCTGTCCCAGCCAGCAGCATGAGTTTACTCTGTAGACTCTTCAGCATGGACAGGTTGTACTCCTTCACAGCCATGTCTTCATCATCATCATTGTCATCCTTAGGCTCTGCTCCTTCTACTCGCAATCGGACCACTGACTCCAAGTCATTCTGAAGTAAATTGGAGTTAAATTAACATTAAACATTTCACTGGTGCCTCCAAAATGTTACAGGAAAGGAGGATGCCAGGAAAGTCACATCTAACCAGATTAAAAACCTGAATTCAACTAACTTTATTCAAAGTTTTTGAACGGAATAGGCTGTTCCAAAGACATACAGCCGGTCCTGTCTCTTAGACACAATAACTCTACGTCATTAACTAATACAGTAATTGTATGTTAGTTACTGGTCTACGAGCTTACAACTGTCTACTACATAAGTCTAATCAGTGTCTATTACAACCCACCTTTACTGGAGCATACAATGTACAATTACCTTAAAGTTTTCAGTTTCCAAATTATTAGCATTTTAAGGGAAAAGGAATGACACTACATTAAGCATATCCTTTAGAGATACATACCAGAGATTGATTTTGTCCAAAGCAGCCAATCTCGTAGACACCCCTGGCATTGATGGCTTCTGTCTGAGACAGGGAGGACATCTCCACAGAACCATGGGAGTCACTCACTTCCTTCAGCCACTTCAGGTTACGACAGGTGTCCATCTGGAATATATAAGCAGATATTATATAATTTATATAGTTGACTGACAGGTATGATGGCAATGCGACAACAAATCAAAAACATCAGATATCCATCATGGCAAAATGATGTGATGCAATTTTGTCTTGCTTCTTCTTTAAGTTATGACTAGACATGTATTGACTAGACATTCAGTTAAGTATGTTGTTCAAAGAAACTGTCGCTGTGGCCAGAAAACTAACATGTCTACAGGTGCAAGTTGCCTGACAGTACATGTAACGTTACATGATGTACATCTGTTCAATGAAGTTTAAGATATTGAAGGAGTAGGTACAAGTATTTTAGAATCAACATCAATGCAAATCAATATTGAATCATGGGAGGGGGGGCTATCATTAAACAAATTCTGACCAGTTTCTTGGGCAGGTGTTTGTCCTTCTTCAGGGCAGCCCAGAACTGCCGGCAGCATTTCATCAGCGTGTCGAAGTCGGAGTCTTCGTTCAGGTCGTAGATGAGCGGTGCATACCCCACCCCGGCAGACAGGAGGCAGTTCACCTTGTCCACTTCAATGTCACTCTCTCCAGCTGAGATGCTGGCCAGAACCTTCAGTTCCCTGGTACCTGTAGTATATAATAAACGTTTGTCAGTGCCTAGTACATGTAAATGTACAACATCATCAGTTTTGGTGATAACATTTTCTGTGGTGTTAACTTCTGCATGGGGGTCCCCCTAAACATAGAAATCAAACAATAACCATTCAGAAACCACCAGTGGTTATTGTGATAAAAGTTAGATATTTTTTCTTGAATGCCTGAATATGTACAAACATGTAGGGCAATATACATTTGATATCACAAGAAAGTCATTTAGACGTACTATATAAGCTAACACACCATGGATCTTTGTTCTCAGCCAGTTCACGAGTCGCTGACACTTGACAAACGTCCTGATGCTATCTATCTTCTGCTCTGTCATCTCCCTCAGCAGCTTCCCTGCATTCACCACTTTCCTGTTGATGGAACTCAGTGGATTCTGCTTGCAGTTTTTCTATGCAGGAGAAAACACCATGTCAAAATGCAGTGCATACATGCAGGTATTCTGCCAAATGAATCAAACATGTTTAAATTGAAAACTAAGATAAAATTACACAAAATAGATCCTTTAAAGATACAAGTTGTTTATAAATAATCAAGACATCAGATTCTTTGAAAATAGCCAGCAGCTAACATTTAGTACTCTAGCCAAAGTTGTCAGTTGTGCGGCTGTAATGCCGCATTACGTGGTCATTATCAGATCACTTCTGGGGTTACCCCGGCATTAAACTAGCTCCCACTGAACATTGGGAGTAATGCTAGATTGATGCCATGACTATTAATCATCATTAATCATCTTGGCCTTTTGGAGTGGGGCAGAAGCTGTTGCCTGATGTGATCTCCACCCCTGACAGCCTGCCTGACAGCTTGCCCGTGGGGATGGTCACACCAAATTAATCCTGTGCTCTTTGAAAACATATGTGCCTTCTAGGAGGTGAAACATAATCTGTTTTCTTTGAGCTGAAACACAGCATCATACATATCTCCAAGTTTGGCTTGTTTTGACCAAGCTACAGGAGTCTTTTCTTTTCTTTGAATGTCTTTTAACCACTAAATCAAAAGGTCCAGGACCTGTTGGCCTGGGCTGATAGTGACTGCATTTGTATACATACAGAGCCTCCTACATGTGCTATGGGGAGTTGCAAAGGATGGTCTGATCTATCATGTGACCATGTATGGGAACATTCTGCTCCCCCCAGAGGTCATGTGACCTATGGGGGGAGCAGAATGCTCTAAGCTGTCTTGGTCCTACATTGTGTTCTCTCTCTCCACTTCTTGTTAGACATTTGCTACCAGGCACCACATTTTTTTACCAAATGTCTTGAAATTTTAACAGAGCTTGGGAATATACTTCCACAGGTATTCTTGGTTTAATTTTTTGGATGCAGGCCCTAAAATAATTCAACGTAGCTTTTTTGTAAAAAAAAATAGTCCCAAAAAGTATATTGTAACTTATTTGCTCCTGTGTCTTCATATTAGGTCAAATAAAGGACCTAAAATTTGGTATGAGGATAGTGGTTCATGTACGGTGTTGGTGGTTGAAGTATAATGACAAGAAGTCCTAAATGCAACTTCATGTATGTTCTTTTAGGTTGGAATTGCAACAGAATTTCTGAAAATATACCCTGTGTAAAAGGCCAAACTTCAGACTGTTTCAGGCCAGGCAGGTTGTAGACTGAACTAGAGTTCCACGATCTCATACCTTCGCCAAATGATGTTAGCCTTTATGACTAAGAAATAATAGATTAATCCCCCTGATTGTGCAAATAGGATCTTATATTGCATCAATTATATCTGCTGATCATATTCTATACCAGAAGACAGTCTTATCTTATCAATGCATGCCATTATAGCATGTCCTCATAAATTATGCAAATGAGGTCCTTATTTGAATAAGTTATGTTTAATTATGTTCACCTTCACATAACTTTCAAATATCCCAAGTATGAAATTCCAGACATTACCAATATGTAATTATAACATTTTCTCATTAATTATGCAAATTAAGTCTTCATTTGCATAATCAATATCTGCCTGTATTTCTGACGTTCTGAATTACATATGTCACAAGCTTGAATAGTCCTATCATGGAATGCAGCTGATTTATAGAATTTCCTCGTTAATTATGCAAATTACATTAATATTTGCATAATTGTAATATTATTATGTCATGCATCACTTCAGCTACCTACATGCCAAAACTCACGACGATCCATCAATCGGTTCTTGAATTATCCGCCTTTAAACAGTTTTCAACTAACACCCCTGCAGTTCCAGAGCAAGCAGCTAGGGGGCCCAAACTCACGTCACTTCTTCCCTATCACAAGAGCTACCTACCATCCAAATTTCGTCAGCCTAGCATGTCTAGATCACGAGATATCAAAACCGAAAGTTCAGCTGCAGTACCATAACAAGCCGCTAGGGGGCCCAAAATCTAATCAGTTCCACGTCTCATCAAGACCTACCCACCTACCAAACATCAAGACAATCCATCCAGGCGTTCTCGAGTTATCGTGCTCACACACACACACACACACACACACACACACACGAACGCCTCTGAAAACATAACCTTCTTGGCGAAGGTAATTAGGTCAGTCAGGCCTGCTCAGAGGCGGTGGGACGTCAGTTGCTGACACAGGATGTTCTAAATGGTTGAGGATTGTGCTTACTTGAGCCTGGTGCTAATGTAAGGGTCAACCATAACCGAAGACTGTGACAGAGGGCATTAATGCAGGGGAAAGGCAAACTAATTGGTTCAAGGCACTGCAGAGTTGACAGTGGAGGGAGGTGCCTTGGACAGTCATAATCTACTGTGAAATTAGGCACTATACTGGCTGTAATGCAGGATGAATGTTTCAGGGGGTAATGCTGCATAGCAGACCACTTTGGCAAGGGTGACCAGGTCAACCCACTTTTGAACAAACACATATGCATGACATTGTACAACATACACTACATGTACAAACATGTATATGCAGAGCAAATAGATAGACAAGTAAACATACCGAATGCAGCAGGATCTCCACTCCTTTGAAGTCTCCCTTCAGGTTGTACTTTTCCTTGACGTCTTTCACCACTTCTGCTGCATCCAGGTGCTTGTTCAGCTGGTGGTACTGCTGTATCTGTAGCACACGCTCCTTGATCCATCCCTCTCTTGGATTCTTCGCCAGCATCTTCAGCTCGTACTCAAGCTTCCTGTACTCGTTCTTGAACTGCCCAAACGTCTCGTCAACATCCTGAAGTGTGATCTTTCCATCTTGGACGTTTTGCCTCAGTTCCAGCCACTTCTGGTAGGCAGGCGTCCACACTTGGCCGAGAACGCCATCCACAGAAAGTATGGGTAGGTCCTTCTCCTCTTCACCAGGCTGCGTTGGTCTCATCTTCTCCCAGATCTTGTTGAAGACGGTACTTTTGCTGAGGTTTTCCAGATGGAACAACATCTCCCTGATCGCAGGAGTGATGCCAAAGTAGGTGACGTTGGGTGGTTGAGTTAGGTCAAAGGAAACTTTGGCAATGTCGTTGCCAGCCACCAGTTGACACAGCCTGCTCAGGGACATGGCTGATTTGTCTCTTCGGACCTTTTGCTTCAGCTCTTCACACGCAACTATAAGAGAAGACATGACAACTTCTGATATTTAAATCAGCTTCTTCATGTTTCAGTTACTATTAGGATCAATATCATTTTATTACAGAGACTCAGACACATGCTTCCAAACCTTAAGCAATTGTTAGGTAAATGATGATGATAATATATTATTACAATTATTATTATTATCATTATAAGAGAATTATATTCAAACATAGTGAACATCGCAGAGCCATGTGTAAACTTTGCATCAGTGACCATCTGTTACGTATAGAATCCGGCAGGCATAGCTGTACCCCTCTGAGACAGAGAAATTGGGAATTCTTTATAATTTATATGTTGAAAATGAGATAACGGGGGGTTCCCTAAGTTTGGACGTGTCCTAACTTCGGAGGGATTTTTTACTGTTCTTATTATGCAAAAGTATGCTGTGTTTGTTGCAGCTGACTTTATTTGCTCATAGTCAATGCATACACTATTTGCATGCAAAGTATTAGTTATTTATTGTTTTGTCGAGAAACAGAATTTCACCAAGAATAATGATGCTGCTGAGAGGAGGGTATCGTCCCGAGAAAACCAATGTCAGCACCACTGTCATTCTGCATTTCCCATGATTCTCATGAGACCGCGTTGATTGCATAAGCCGTGTTTTCAGTCAAAACACTGACTGATTGCGTTCAATACACCCCTCCTCGTGTGAGACGAGAAGTACACACAATCACAACCGTCAAAAGAAAGCTGAAATAGATAGAATTCAGTTCTTATTGCTGCTTACGTATGTAAAGTCATTTGAAGACAGCAAAACTGCAAAAACAGTATGGGTGCATTAATTTCTTATTGAAGTATTGTTCTCTACATTTAATGTTCTAAAAATTCATTCATCAAAAACCTGACCACTCTCTGACAACTACATGTAGCAACAGGGTGTAGCAATAGTTTGAGTGTGTGGAAAAGCCTCCGATGTTAGGGCACCCCCGTTACATTTTCTATACTTGACTGTACATAATATCAAGATGAACGCCAAGCGCTTTTCAAAACTTTACAAATTAACTGTCAATCAAGCAGGACACTTTCAAATACTTGATATAATGCAGGAATAAATGTATAGTAGACAAAGTATATACTGTCTTATGTCTCCAGATGTTTCAGAAAGAGAGAAGAAATGGTGAATAACAGATTCTGAAGATTAGTAATTGCATCAGATTCTGTAATATATGACTGTTTACTTATTAGTCTTTTTACCACTTAGCATTAGAATGTAGTGGTTCAGTATTCAATACTCCATGTTTTGTATACTCTAGACATCTTTTGGTCACATGACATTTAGCCCAGCAGGGCAGGAATATGCAATAAGGGATCCGATTCATTTAATTATAAGCTGCCTTGTTGCCCAGGCCAGGCGGCAGTCACCTAACTGCTATGGGACTGGTGAGGTGAGGGTGAGGTCTTACAACACTTATTAGTAGATTATTTATAAGACCTAGATGATGATGCCTAGATGATGATGAGACCTACATACATTGTATATATTGTTTGTTGAAATTGTCTTTTTTTTGGGGAGGGGGGTAAAATAGAAAAGGATTTTAGACACTGAACAAGACTGTTTCTTGAGAGGGGTGAAGGAAGCCATTTACATCAGGGCCCATCACCCTACATTGAACTGCGACAAGGGGCGGCATCGTCTACCAGATACCTTTGACCCAGTGTTGACGTCACACTTCAAAGAAGCCACGTGACAAGCTTCACTGGGTCAGTCTACTGAGGAAGACCAGAGTGACTGGTCGAAAGCTCTAGGTGAGAGAATTTTTTGTGTTGGACCAAAAGTCTTAACTTTAAACAAGTCATGTAACTACCAAGTTACACAGATGAACTTTCATGATAACAATAGAAAATGAATTTGAAAAAAGTTGAATATAATAATCTAAAAGTATATAACATCAATAAAAAGCTTGACACTATTACAATCATTCTAGCAAAAGAATGACAACACTTCTCACCTGGTTTGATGTCTTCACACATGCTGAGGAAACACTCAATCTGCCTTGTTTCCATCTTGATTGCATCCATTTCCCTTTCTCTCCAGTCAAGAACCTTTTCAAGCTGCTCGAGGGGCCAGGCAGTATCCTCCACCTTCACCACCATGTTTGCATCGCGCTTTCCACTTCCTTTGGCCTTCTTGGTTTTACTTTCCTCTTCTTCCTTTGTACTGCTGACAGCCACGGCATTGCAGAGTTCTAGGAACTGTTTCCTGTGCTGCAGGAGGAGCTGGAGGTGGCTGATGATGATGCTGCCCTTTGTCAGCTCCTGGACTGCCGTGCCCAGGAGGGACTTGTAGGAGGCAATGTGGGTTTGACTCTCTACATCAAGGAATGCCACCAGGTCTGATACCTCCCCTGTACAAATGGAACAAGACACTCAGTAATATTATGAGAAAACAAATATGACGTACATTGTACTACATGTACATATAAAGTTCAATACATTGTACATAGTACCATATATTATCATTAAGTCAACTAGAGTTCCCAGATCTCATACCTTTGCCAAATGATTTTAATCTTAAGTTTATGACTGACAAATTATAGATTATTCCCCTTATTTAACAAATAGGATCCTCATCTTCATGAATTATATCAGTTTATCATATTCTCAACCAAAAGACAGTCATGCATTAACAAACAATGCCATTCTGGCATTTCCTCATAAATATATATTTTTTTATTATTCAATATAAATGAAGTCCTGATTTGAATACATTATGTTTAATGATGTTCATCTTCAATGAACTTTCAAATATCACAAGTATGAAATTCCTGGCAGTTTTACAGAATAACATTTTCTCATAAATTATGCCTGTGTTTCTCTAGTTGTCAACTACCAATCTTACAAGCTTCAATAGTCCTACGCATGGAATGCAGCTGATTAATAGAATTTCCCCATACTTGCATAATTGTCAAATAATTATATTAAGCATCATGTAAGCTACATGTACCTACATACATGTGTGTACCAAAAATCAAGACAATCTGTCAACTGGTTCTTCAGTTATCCTCTTTTGAATATTTTCAAACAGATAGCCCTGCAGTTCCAGAGCAAGTCGCTAGGAGGCCCAAACTCACCTCCCTTAGCACAAGAGCTACCTACATTTTGTACCATCCAAATCTGTTCACCCTAGCATGTCTAGATCATGAGGAATCAAAACCAAAAGTTCAGCTGCAGTACCATGGCAAGCTGCTAGGGGGTCCAAAATCTAATCATTTTCAGGTCTCATCAAGACCTACATGTACCTAAGTAATCAAAACAATCAACCTACCAAGTATCAAAACAATCCATTTATTAAGGACAAGTTGGTTGTCTTTCTACCCAGGGGAAAACATAAGAAATGTTGAGGTTGACTACTGATGAATTTCTGAACTTATGAAAGGATTATGAATCAAACCTGTTGATAGAGAAGGCAGTTGTGTTCCTTCTGTGACGGGTGTCTCTAACCTGGCGGTGTTGGTTTTCAAGTGTTTCTTTGGTCGGTCAGCCTCATCATGTTGAGGAGTTTTCCTTTTGTTGTCCCTCAGTAGCACAGACGAGTCTGCTTTGGACAAAATGACATTGAGCTGAAGATCAATAATACTGGTACTAACTTTTGTATCAAGGAACACCAAGAATTCTGAGATTTCATACCTCCATGAAATATATGAGTTTTTGTAAATGTTTTTTGTCTCATTGACTATGGAAATAATAAAAAGGTCGTAATTAGCACAATCTAGTTTAATTTATGGTTTTCTAAATTCAAATGACAATATTTTTCATGTAAAATTCCTCTCCTTTGTCATACTTCAATTCAACATGTCCTCATTAATTATGCAAATCACCTCTACATTAACAAAATATATAGCCTGGGTACCATCCCCAGTAGTATTCGCCAGCTCTATACATGTAACTGGGTCTGAACTTGATCACATATGTAGCGTCTGGAGTCTGAATATTCGTTCAGATTTTGAACGAGCGCGCTGATTGGTCCTACTCGTCTAAGCCCTATTTGGGTGTGTACATATTAGGTAAGGGCCGTTTGGACGTCCGAACGGCGACGTTAGCGTCATACATCAAACATAAGTTGATGTTGACCTCGCAATCACGTCCGTTTTGGACGATTTAGACGGAATGATCGTCGCTCAAAAATGAGCAAAAAGATGCATTGAACAATTTCGTTCGTGGAAAGTATGTTTTGGGCGTCCTACTGGAAAAAAAGAACGCACCGAGAAAAGGAACACTCGCGCGAAAATCTGTGTTTACAAAACAACAAACATCACATGAATAATGGAGGCGCGCCATTGGCCGTCGCCCTGAGGCTTAGCCAATCAAATAAAGCCCCGCTGCTCGGGCTAGCTCATTACGTGACGTCATCACCAATCGTTTCATATGTAATCGGGTCCAGACCAAGTATAGAGCGTGCGACATATTACTGGGAATGGTACCCAGGCTACAAAATATATGCATAGTGGTGTTAACCTTTAAGTAACTTACACATGTCACAAGGTATAAAATTCCCATCATTCACCTATCATGCCTATAAGGAGTAACAGAATTTTCACATTAATTATGCAAATTAGGTCATCATTGCATAATTGATATCTGTTGATGTTCCGGCTGCCACAGATTAAATAGATTACATGTCTTTGATTGTTTCAAGGTACTATTATTAAAAACACTGTAATTATAGTATTTCCTCCTTGATTATGCAAATTAAGACCTCATTTGCATAATTTGAATTTAATTATGTACAACTCTGTCTCAGCTACCTTACGTACCAAAAATGATTACTAACAGTAACTTTGATCTTTACTTAAGTCCACTGTTTATAGAGGTCTGGACTACTTGATGAAACTAAAGACCCACTTTTTTTAAATAAAATATGTTTGGGTGTTGTATCACCTGTAGGTTTGTCAGAACTAGTGCTTGGCCTTGGCTGTGTGTCAGCTCTGTGTAAGACAGTTGATGATGAAATGGTGGGGAGCATTGAAGAAGTAGGATGGACAACACTTGGTACAACTGATGTCTTTCCAGTTTCATCTGTGAGATGAGAACATTGTTGTTATAAGAACTTATACAACACATATAAATGAAGTCCTGATTTGAATACATTATGTTTAATGATGTCCATCTTCACTTAACTTTCAAATATCACAAGTATGAAATTCCTGGCAGTTATCATTACAGAATTATAACATTTTCTCATAAATTATGCCTGTGTTTCTCTAGTTGTCAACTACCAATCTTACAAGCTTCAATAGTCCTACGCATCGAATGCAGCTGATTAATAGAATTTCCCCATACTTGCATAATTGTCAAATAATTATATTAAGCATCATGTAAGCTACATGTACCTACATACATGTGTGTACCAAAAATCAAGACAATCTGTCAACTGGTTCTTCAGTTAATAATATCCTCTTTTGAATATTTTCAAACAGATAGCCCTGCAGTTCCAGAGCAAGTCGCTAGGAGGCCCAAACTCACCTCCCTTAGCACAAGAGCTACCTACATTTTGTACCATCCAAATCTGTTCACCCTAGCATGTCTAGATCATGAGGAATCAAAACCAAAAGTTCAGCTGCAGTACCATGGCAAGCTGCTAGGGGGTCCAAAATCTAATCATTTTGAGGTCTAATCAAGACCTACATGTACCCAAGTATCAAAACAATCCATTTAAGCCGTCTCAAGTTATCGTGTCTACAGATGGACACACACACTCACACACACATACATTTTGTACATGTACACGAACGCCTCTGAAAACATAACCTTCTTGGCAAAGGTAACAAGATCCTATATGCGGGATTGCCATAAATTAACATTATAACTTTTCAAGTTTTTAAAATACACCAAAATCAGCCTTTCTTGTCACATACATGTCATGTACGTATGTGCAAAAGGTATTAATAGTGTTGCACATACCACCTACCAAAGAGTTTGAGGATCCCAGCACAAGGTTGCCATGTGAGCATGTGTCGAAGAAGCTCGTCTGTTGGTGGTGTTCTTCCATCGTTGGTTGCTGGCCATGTTCGGCACAGCATTCTGGAGAACAAGCAGCCATAGTTGCGTTTGGACTCATCTGGTGACCTTGCATAGCTGTTAACAATCTGCTGACCATTCTCACTCTGAAATATAATAGACACAGGCACTATAAGTTACCGGTAAATGTTTTTTGAGCAACCGTTTGCAACGACTACATTTTTGTACATGACAATTATACAATCTATTGTACATGTACAATTATGTGAGCGGGGCCTGATGGTGTATTTAAACCCCGGGTTCTTTTAGGATGTTGCCTAGAGAGACCTTTACAGAGAAGTAACAGACACAGGACGCAGGTCTTTGCCGTACAACATCGCCGGGGACTGGGCCTCTCAACTGTCGACCCTCGCCTCTCACCAACTGTCGACAACTGTCTGTCCTTTCCACAGTCCCACGGCTTTACCTTTATTCATTTCTTCCAGACACAGGTAGCACCTAAGTGTAAAGCTATTGTCTGCCGGAGTCTAGACAGACACACCAAGAGATCGTCTACTATCCTACTGTGACAGTCATAAAATCATTTGTTTTGATATTCCGCACTTCAAAGACAACAATTCTTTAATTTGTAATGCAATTTCACACGTCCATGGTAGGAGTTCTTGATTAAACATCTAATATGAATATGCGTAAGGGTTGTCATACTAATCACAGAGCGGAACGGGCGATAAGAAGCAGGACAAGGTGAAACACATTGCGAGAACGGAAATACGAATTACAAATAAAATATGGCATTTTCCCATTCCTACAATTATAATACAATCTACTTATCTACAGAGCTACAACTAAACATGTACACATACCTTGGATCCAGGTCTCGAACTGACTTACAGAGCGATTGTCACTTCCAAGCTTAACTATGCTAACAATAGTCCCTCACCTGATTGGTTGCTCTCACCAACCAATCAGGGCCTACCTAACGCGCTAATATATGCATAGTTCTCTATAACAACTGTTTCCACATGGTCATTTACATATTAGCCTAATTACAATAGTCATAATGTTACAACATGTGTATGATTCTAAACCCAGCAAAAATTGAGCAAACTGTCCACATGTACAAGAAAATTGTTTTACTACAGTACCGTTCGCGTTATAGTTACCCTAACGGCCGTTAGTAACGGGGTTTTTTCCCATTAGTTTTCCGTTATTAACTGGTTACTTTTCCGAAAGTTTTCCGTTACTTTTCCGAAAGTAACGCGTTTCTTTTTCGTCAGACTTCTCCATTCATATGCAGGCGCGGTAACATCACAGGAATCGTGGGAGGAGTACTAATTTACCTCATGCTGGGCGGGAAATTACCGATACACACCGCTGGAACAGCGGAAGGAACGTTGATCTAGCCGCATTTTACTATATAACAGTAACGTTTAAAACGTTTAACGATCACCGGCGCATCAATTAGATCGACATTTTCTTTTGTCACTGTTGCCCAGGCAAGCGTTTCTATTGTTTGTCAACTTTATTTTGCTGTTTTTCTCTGTTTGTTTACTTATTTTACCACCGAATATGCAATCCTAGATGATCTGAAGTTATAAATGCCCCGGTCCGCCGTACATAATAGGCGGCGGGCGTGAGGTAACGTTAGGGATGTGCAAAAACATCGCGAATAATTCCTATAACACTCGAAAAAAGGCAGCATATTTACACGTGCCCACCAACATTTTTATGGCTAATTATTGACCAGTTTTGGGGAGTTTTGTTATGTCCTTGGAGTTTTGTTTAGAGTGGGATGAAAGCCGTGCCGCGACTCCGACTCCATGCACTTCCGTGTTACATTACGTTGTATGTGACCAACAAAATTACGCCAAAGGCACCACAAATCCACATGTACATATATTTTTTTTCCCGAAAATTCTTTTGAGTACGCATTCCGTCACTAGGATGTTGCTAATTAGTCGTAGAAATAAGGCAGAAACCAGCGTAAATGTGGCTTTCTCGAGATCGAGCTCTCTGCACTTCGCGCGCCCTGGCGCCCCAGCATGCAACGGGCTTCGTTCTAGCCAATCACAGCGCAGGTCATCTAAGGTGAACCAATCAGAGCGTAGCTACTTGCATATTATAATGAGCATGCTGCACACAGGGCGGCCGCGGCGAGGGCGACCGGCCCTGAGTGCGCGGGAAATGTGTTTTGCAACTATATTTTTACGGGGATTTTCTGACGTTTGACGCTGACTTTGGCACGATATGATCGCACTACCATGTACACGCTACCGTAGGCGGCAAATGAGTGGTCATTTTTATATAATCGTCGAGAAATTTTGGCGTTATGCACCCGGAAGTGAGCCGATCTCAGTTTGCGTTCCCTCGATTTTTGACAGTTTCCCCCCTCAAAATACGAAACAAAACTACCGCTATTAAATAGAACCATGTATTACAATTATCATTTCAACATGATAGATCTATTATATATTCCTTTATTTAAGTATGATATCATCATGGTTGTGGAAAGTCCTCAGGAGGCGAACCGAGTCCTTGCGCCGGGAGTGACGGTAACGTTACAATCATTTTACCGTGAGTATTAAAGCCGCTACTACTAGTAAGCCGCGCGCCTTACAAAAATTATAATAATTTTTCTTTTGTGTCAAAAACCGCCGTGAATTTAAGGCATGAGTTACCGATTTATATTTCTTCTACGGCAGATATTTCTTGTTTCGTCACGTCCCATGACGTCCTGTGAGAGCGGTAGGCCGCCGCTGGTACAAAATGTACAAGACATCGTCTGCCCACTGCTACACTTTGTTGACATACATTGTATTACACAACGTAATTTTCCGCTAGAAATAACTATAGAATAGCATTAAAAGATAGCACAATTCGCTTCACACAGTCGACACATGGATAAACCACAAAGTTATTTTACGAATCACATGTCGCTTCACACAGTCGACACATGGATAAACCACAAAGTTATTTTACGAATCACATGTCCACTTGCCTCTGGTGCTGTTATTTTTCAAGGGGCAACATCGCAACACATTAGCGGACGCCCCAGGAGGTGGCAAATTGCTATTGTCTTGTCGGCGCGCAAAACAAACATGAAATCCGACCCTATCACATTAACGCAAACGGTAACGCGTTAGAAATAATTTCTGACGATTTTCTAACCATTTTCTGACGAAAATCTAACCAAATACTGACGATTTTCTAACCATTTTCTGACGAAAATCTAACTCGTTAGTAACGGGGTACCCGGTTAACTATAACGCGAACGGTACTGTATCTGTCCTTCTTTTAGAAAATATTTTAGAAAGTACCTCCTAACTTCCCAATATTAATTGTTTATCAACTGTTGTTCTTCTGATAATCTCACGGTAATAACTGTATGAAGATCATTGAGTACCTTAACAATATTGTCCACTGCGTCAAAAGCTGCATCGCTGTAGCACTGTGCCAGGTGCTGGGGGAAGGTGGAGGTGTCCAGAGAACAGAACAGCTCCACACATTCCATTGAGGTGATCTGGAGTTAATGGTCCGGGAATAATTTTCAGTTAATAACTTAATACAGTCATCACGAAATTATAATATAATGCTATTTACAGAACAATAACAAGACTGACAATGGCAATGGTGGTTGTTGTCAGGGTTTTTGTTTGCATGGCACTGCCAACATTGATTTCGTGATTTTGGGGAAGCCTCACCGTGGTCTGTCACATGTCAAATTATAACAATTTAGGTCACAAGTCTCTGAGAAAACCTGCCCTACTTTCAAATTCTCAGGAGAGGGTAGGAGTAATCTACTGATTTTTAACTGCATTGTATCTGTCTAGACAGGTAACAAGGTATACATAATTACATACATTTACTTTCCTATCGTTATTAAAAATGTTATCACCGGCACCAACTGCCAAGTCTACAGAGGCGCCCAGCTTGGCAACACAGACCACAGACTGTTGATCGCCCTCATGAAGCTCAAGCTCAAGAACGACCCTTCCACCAAAAGGCAAGTTTGCTTGGACTCCTCTCGACTCAAGGACCCGATGATCCAAGAGACCTACATATGTGCTACCTCCAACTGATACAAATTTGCTTTAGCCTCAGATGCATTGCCAGACTGGGAGCACTTCAACACAGAAACCTAAGAAAACCTAAGCGGCCCAAGAAAACATTAAGAAGGAGCAGACCCTCCCCTAAACAACCTTGGATCCCACGAGAAACCCTTGACATCATAGACAGTCACCAGGGTGACCTAAACGAGTACCGACATCTCAACGGTGCCTGCAACTCTTCCATCCGTGAGAGGACTGATCAGGCGGGAAATCTAGAAACCGCGGCAGAAAGGAATGACCAAATCTACAGTCTCCTTTTAATTGCCAGGCAAAAGCTGGCCCACGACAACGCTGTTTCCTCAGAGAGGACAGCGCTGCATCATCTCCACTGAAGCGGAACACTTAAGCCAGCTTCTAAAACATCCTCCAGTCGCAGAGGACCCCACTCTGACCGAGGCTGCAAATGCGACATATGGCGCTAATTATAATAACCCTGCGCTAATTATAATAACCCTGACTGCCCTATCACCCCTGTTACTCCAGATGAGGTGAAGGCTGCTCTGAAGAAACTGAAGAATGGGACGGCTCCGGGGATCAGTGTAACATCACAGCGGAGATGCTGAAGGCAGGTGGTGACCACATGATCCAGTGGCTCACACAGATAATTAACCACGTCTGGATTCTAGTGAAGCTTCCAGATGACTGGAGATGGGGTATCATCTTACCTTTTTGGAAGAGGAAGGGAGACCAGCTGGTATGCAGCAACCACAGGGGCATTACCTTACTGTCCATCCTGGGCAAGCTGTTCACCCGTATCCTACTGTCAAGGACCCTCCCTGCCATCAGGAGCAGGCGCCGTCCACAACAGGCAGGCTTCATGCCGAACCGCTCTACCACTGACCATATTTCTGCACTACGTCTGGCCATTGAGAAGGCACGGTCCTACTGTACGGATCAGAAACCTGGGCACTGAACAGCACGCTGGAATCATGACTAGACGGATTCGACAGCAGAGCCCTCCGGAAGATTACTGGCTTCCGCTGTCATGAACATGTCAGCAACAAGGAACTCCAAGACCTGACTGGACAACCTGCTGCATCGTGCCTTGCAGCTTTGCCCCTGAACGGGCAGGATGACGGCGGGGGGCCCCACATACCAGATGGATGGACGCTGTACGATGTAACCTACAGTAAGCAACATCAACATCCAGCTCCCCCAGACACAGCAGCTGGCTGAAGACAGAGGAAAGTGGCGGGCCCTGACGAAGCTAGTCAGCTCTACGCATCACATGCAAGAGGACTGAGGAGCAGGCAGCAATATACGAATAAACATCGATAGTCATCAGCTTCTTTGCATCTGAACACTGGTAATTCTATATCATTACCATGAAGTTAAAAATCCTGTGTGCATCACTGGCAGAATTACTTGGTATTACGTAGAGAATTACATTAGGTATACATACATGTACATGTATACTGTACAGTTCAATAGATCACTCCTACATGTATTAGCACCTACTGTACCCTGAGTATTTAGTGAACAAGCCCGCTGCCCCAAGCAAAGTAGGGCATTCCTACAGGAAGATTTTCCCAAGGGTTTCCAGGAATTTCATTAAATTTAAAAATAGTAGGGATGTGGGCATAGATGTGTGTCAGCAAAATTCCAGAGCTGTGAGACATGCCTGTGGACATTCCCTGCCTGTGGATAAAATTCCTGTACAATTCCTAGAATTCTTGCAAACTGCACACAATACTGAACCTTTAGGCTCCCCCTGAGGTGTCGCCAAAAAAGACAGGCAACTACATTATGTTTTTAACGCAAAACATGTGAGTGTCTAGAGATACCCTGGATGCCAAACTCGCTGTCCGGGCCGCAAAAGCCCTTCGCCCGCTGGTGTAAATTACCGCTACGGGGGAGTCTAGCCCGGGGGGCCGGACTTGACACCAGACTAGTTCTAGGGCCAGCCAACTCCCATCGGGCTCAACTCCCCCGTAGCGGTAATTTAGGCAGGCGGGCGAAGGGCTCTCGGCTGCCGAAGGAAAACGGCTAACGGCCCGATACTAGTTTGGCATCCAGGGTAGTCTAGAGATTGCTACATGTAGCTGTATCACTTTCAGGAACTTTAAGATAACCACGGACCACTCTTAGACTAGTAATGTTGTGCACAATCATTTGTTCTCAGACTGGTAAATACTTTGCTTTTCTATTGGATAGCAAAATTATTGATTCCTTACAATTTACAAAAGTACCAAACAACTTATATTCCTCATTTGAGATGAATGAGAGAGGTTCTTAAGGCAAATTTACCAATTACTAGAGCATACAGAACTCACAGCAAGGAGCCGCTGATGTAACATCCCCAGTAGGATTTCGTTCCAGAAGCTGTTCACCTCTTCCTTTCCCCAGTCTACACTGAGAACACCTTGCCATACCTAAGAAAGTAATATCACAATTGTAGTATGATGGCCATCAAGTAAATGTTGCCTCATGACGATGTGGGCAACAGCAAGATATGCACATAATTTATTGTTATTGAAGTATTGAGTGTTCATAATATCAAAAGACTAAAGTTGTTCAATCACACTTACCATGAAACAAATTCCTGTTATTACTTTGTTTTCTGGTGGATCATTTTCTGATTGGTGACATACATTATGTAGTACTGAAAAAAGCCCAATGGGCATATAATGTACAAGTCATCAAAACTTACCTTCATCAATGTTCGGCAGGAACACAGCCTAACAACCCACATTACACTGAAATGGGCATCTATTTCTTACATGACAGTTGATAACCTTAAAGAATGGCACAATGTCATTTACCTTACTCTCTTCCCCATCCGCATAAGAGGAGACTGAGATTTTCATAATCAGGTGATTATCCAACCACGTCATCATGAAGGAAGTTGCCTCATTAACGAGTTTCTCCATACTTGTCAGCGTGTTTTGTGCCTTGGCTTCTGTTGCAGAGTGCAGGAGTGTCCAAAGATTATAAAAACAGGCAGCAGCCAGGTGTACTGCACCAATGAGGATCGGGTGATGATCAAGGTCTGTGCAGACATCCAAACAGCTCAGCAACACCTTGTTCGCAATGCAGAAGGTTTGACATTCCTCTTTTCTTGTTGCATCATCCCTACAGCAGGGGAAAATCAGCATTAAAATGATCACAGTCTGCAGCAATAAACTACTAGTAGATGTTTAGACTTAGAGGGTTGGGAGCTTAAGAGCTTCAAGTCCGACAGATGTGGCTGCATTGAAAAGGAAGCTTCACTCACTTGACCAACACTTTATTGTAAGATATACAACATGTAATGCCTTGTTCGTGGATACTGTCATGCGGCTGTGCCACATACCTTGCTACTAGACCTCGATAAGTAACTTAAAGGGTTATGCCCCGCCCCAAGGTGTATGAGATAATCCCTGGTCAGGTGCGATAACCACCAAATAAACCACAGAGTGAGCGTACCTGACCAGGAAATATCTCACCATACACACCAAGGATAAGGTGGGGCATTAACGTTATTATCATTATCCTTCATAACATTCCTCCGTTGCCAACAAAAACTGTCACATTCTACAGTATGTTACATGAAGCAAGATGGCATGGACAGAAAAATAGATCATCTATTACTATTAGGTAATCATCCTCGGTGACCATGTGACATTGGTCAGGAACAGTATCACTTTTAGTGGGGGTGCCAAATATTACGTTTAATAGTTTTTTTGTTTAAATTTCAATATATCTTTTTGCTTGCATTTTATTTTCTTATAAATTATTCAAAATAAACTACATTTTAATACATTATACATCACTACTACCTGTCCCCTGTACAATGGCCCAAAACGTGGTTGATAATTCTAATAACCGACCAGTTCTGAGGTTACGGCCCGATAGCCAATGGGAATTCCCATGCAAGAACTAAACGGCTGCAACAGTCCTTCCTGCACTACACCATCAGACTCTATAACAACCTGCCTTGAACCCACACTAGTACTGGACTTTGCATAGCCTGATAAAGCAACTTTGTGGATATATGTTGTAAATAATTTTTTATATGTGTCTTTTGTATATATGGTTGTTTATATGTATTATTTTTTCTATGTGAATACTGTTTAATGCTTCAAATAATGTGACAAATTGTACCTAATTCAGGGGGATGCGCTTCTGCTCCCCCTGCTGTTGTACATTTGTTAAATGATGAGCAAATAAATAAAGTTGGGAAATGGAGCCTTCTGATTGGTCAAAGTCTTCTGGCTATAATAAGTATATCTGGACTCACGCATATGAAAAGACAAGGAGAAGAAGTGGGCTTGGTAATAATTTCAACAGTTGCAAAACATGAGCATCTGTGTGAGAGGGTGGGAAATATTTAGATGCGCTTGAGGGAGCCACACCACTCGACTACTGTCGTGTCAAAATGTATAATATTATGTACAACTGGGTCACATGCAGGGTCAGGGGTTGTGCTACATTGTACATGCATCTAATTAAATGATTTGAGCTCTCACCCAAATATCAGACACATTTCATTGAAAAATAATGTAAATTATTGGGTTAATAATGTATGTAAATTGTAATCTATGGAACATGACCTTGTTGACGTGGTGCCCTCCATGTAAATTGTACAACAGTCATGTACATGTACAATGTATGTTGAAAATTGTAATAAATAAATACAAGCAAGAGGAGGTACTGTACAGTATCCTATTTATCATGCGCAGTCCTCGGTCCTCCGGAATGAGTGATGGGGATACTGCCGTCTGGAGCCTAAAGTAACATAAAGGTAATGGCGGCCTTCTTTTTAGCAGTTTAGGCTCCGTCTGGCGGACGGAGAACCTCTGGACTGCTAAGTACAGATAGATCTTAGTCCGCTTGCCCTTATATAGATTGAGATCATCACGTGATTCCTCTGGACCTATTACTGCGCATGACAGAAGTATTACACAATATATACAGTGCGTTTGCATCTTAACTTCTTTTACTAGTTTTAGTCAGTCTGATAAGTTACTGAAGGTACATGTATAGACATTCAATATGCAAGTGCATGCAAACAAATAAATCATTATATTCATAACGGTTACAATCATTATTTTTCTAATATAGATGCAATGATATTTCCATTGCAAATTTTCTACAAATACATGTAAAATGATTGTGAAACCATGAATAGTATCATAATGATGGAGGGGTAAATATTTAGCACTCTGTTCATTTTGATACCAAACGCTACAAAGGCCTGATCATGATTTACACAGGAAAAAATACATGATTGTGTCCTACATTGTGTCCAAGGTTGACGTGCGGTGCCACACGGCGCAAACTGTACTAATTTTTTTACTTTGTTTTTGACAAGTCATGTTTAGTACTTTACGAATCTACTAAACATGTCATGGAGGTATGTGGTCGCGGGACTAGCTAATAATTTTATACACATCTGAACAACAGACGTTAAACCGGACAGAGTGAGAGAGAGAGAGAGAGAAATGAAGCTGGGCTCACCCTTTGTCTGCAGTATCATCAGTGACACTACTACCAGCAGCAAGTGCTGTTGCTGTCTCAAGAACCTGAAGAAGTGACTGGAACTCCTGAATATAGGAGAAACAATGATGTCACATACAGATAAATGTGGGTTAATGGAAAAAGGAGTCCAGTCCGATTGGCGGAAAAAGCAGTCCAGTCCGATTTTGGGGTGGAGAAAGCAGTCCGGTGGTTTCTACAAAATTCTACGAAAGACCATAGGTACAATTTTTTCTTCTGTGTGTACTTCTAGTTTCTATGGGGACTTCGAGTTTCTATGAGTACTTAGAGTTAGTATGACTACTTAGAGTTTGTATGGGAACTTGAATTAGCATATATGTGACTCACTGTATGCCGCCTTAACCCGTAATTCAGGCAGTCTTGGGTAAGGAATAGCGGACAACCGATTTACACCTCTTGGGACCACCAAAAAGTAGTTTCTATACAATCATACAGGTCACCTATCCACAATAAACAAAAGTTAATTATTAAGGGATTCTTTCTTACTTCCGGTACTTACATGCTTGTCGTTTGTAATGCAAAGTCTGCCATATGCGGCTTTAGCAGGGGCCGGCTGGATGTTGGGCAGCTGGCAACCGTAAAGCGATTTAATCAGGCTACTTGCAAGCAGGATCGGCCCTGGAAATTTCGTCAGTTGACCGCTTCACCTTTTGACTAATTATTATTACTTATATGTAAGTAATAATCCGGTGGCATGATGATGACGATATGTAAGTTACAAACTGTAAGTTCCCATACAAACTCTAAGTACTCATAGAAACTCTAAGTACTCATAGAAACTCGAAGTACCCATAGAAACTAGAAGTACACACACAAGAAAAAATTGTACCTTGGTCTTTCGTAGAATTTCGTAGAAACCACCGGACTGCTTTTTCCACCCCAAAATTGGACTGGACTGCTTTTCCCGCCAATCGGACTGGACTCCTTTTTCCATCAACCCGATAAATGTAGTACTAATATTATCATGCTGTGGCCAATATTTACTTTTATATAATTAGTTAGGTTGATTAGGAAAAAATTGTCTATTTCTAGGATACATTTTTGTACCTTAGTACTGGATGAATGTACTGTCACAGTGATGTAATAATAATGGGCAATTTTGATGAGACAATGTGTTTATTCTCTGAATCTGCACAGACCAATAGTCTGCAAGGTCCATCTCTTAATCTAAAAACGAATGCTAAAACAATCATACATTGTAGCTGCTTATATAATAAGCAGTATGAACACTCCAATGCCATTATGCCATTAAAAAACCTATTACCTGTCTATCTTCCTGGAGTGATAGGGAATACCCAGTTGCAACATTTACAGCGATGGCTGCACACAGAGTTGGCAGGCTGATTGGCTTCAGTGTCAGGAGGTCCAACAGTTCCTTGTTTGTGAGAATGGCTGCACATGATCGCTCAAGCAGCCTGTCAGCTTCAAACAAGGCAGGGTCAAGCTCTTTCATTACTGCAAGGAGCAGTGAGTTCTCTGTGGAACTAAAGGAAACACATCTATTTATTTAATATCTATTTCAGTTTTATTTAGCCAGGGTGGCCCATCTCAGTGTATGACACTCATGGGGCCCAGTAAGACATGCACAAGGCCAGGGCAAGTAATTTTTATGGATGACATCAGCGTGCGCATTAATTTTTGCCTGATTTTGGAGAGAAAAAAACAAGAACTTTTGTTGCCCCCAGACAGTGGTCAACGTGCCAAAAAATGGGCAAAGATGTCTGTTGCCATGCCGGAAGGTGGATGGCAGATAACTATGAAGAGAGATGAGACACTCACTGGACAAGGCTCTGGTTTAATGTTTTGTCTAACTTCTACTTTGCACTCATTCTCATTCAAATTTGCAAAATGCTTTTAAAATAACTTATATATTATAATTATGACCCAAATCACAGACCTCATACTAGTATAATGCTTTCTTCACTTTCCCACTACACTAACAACAGCACTAGGTTTGATTGATGACTGTGTAAGAAATTATGTCAGCAGGTTGGATTAATATTTCTCCCTCCAAAACTTTAAAAAGCAACCTAAAATATACTTATAGCTATTTAATTACGACAATACAACATGTAGTTTGCTGTCTAGTGAAGCCGGATATGGCCAGGTCCTCTGAAAGATCAAGTCAGATCGCTCCCGTCACTATTCTTGTACATTATGCAAGGTGGTTCATACAATCATGTACCTGTCGCCAAGTTCTGTAACCTTTGTTACCGCTCAAGTAAGATGGTCGTGAAGTTTAGATAGAACCACATAAAAGACAACAAATTGCCATTTTGATAACTTTTGGCAAGTTTTCTGGGTTTCTACGAGAAGAAGAAAGAGGTGCTTGCTGTCATTTGTAGCCACCTTGCTGAACAAAATGTTTTACAGAAATGACTGTAACCTCAGTTTCATTTGTTTATTATTTTGTATGTTATGTTAAAACCATTTCTGCAATGATTGAAAACTTTATTTTTCAAAGTTGTTTCATTGAGAAATGGATTTTGTAATAGTTGGCAGTAAACTTACATTTCTTGACATTTCTTGTGTTCTTGTTTAACAAAGTTTATTGTGTCATGTATGTACAGAATCTTGACTTTTCGGCCCGCCTAATGTTTTTTTCCACCGCATTAGATTCGGAGTCTGCGGAGGATGTCATCCATAAAATTTACTTGCTGTGACATAATGTGTACACAATCATTACATAATCACAACACATAAAAAATATTACACAAAATACATCATGTACATTACACAAACTTAAACCCTTGTCCTGTTTCCAAATATTATTTTCCCACAATATTTCCAAATAATTTCATGTCTTAATCAAGTCACAGACCCTTGACTTTTTTTGCCCTGCGGCGGCGTAGTTACTTCCACATTCGTTGCGTTTCGCTGCGGTGTGATGCGTTGCACAAGAAACACCCCCAAATCGCACATATACAGGGTACTATATACTTTATGGTACTGTATGTGCAACCCATATATATATATGGGCCCCGCAGGACAAGGGTTAACAAAGCTATCATATCATTATGAATCCATAACTCCTAATCAATATTCTGGATAGGTCGCAAAACGAGGTCAGTGGTCAGCTCATTTCATTATATGCCTTGAATGTTGCAATGTTTGTAGCTGTTTTCAATGTCAGAGAAGGTCATTCAACACAAACACCTCTGTGGCTAAACTTGTGCCTTCCACATTCTAGGTGAGCCTGTGCTACATATACATGCACATGTCGTTGTATACATGTACAAAATGTATATATTGTAGATTGGCTTATACTGTGATGATGAGACTCTGATACGTATACTAGGATAAGGGTCCTTTTATTGTCAAGGAGAAGCAAATTAAATCATTTTCCTGGAATTATTACCTTTGAAACACAGTAACAAACTTCATTTTCTCACCTATCTCTGATGTCGTCCTTGAATCGTCTGTACTCCAGTCCTTCTAATCCCAACCATTCCGGCGAAGCTTTCTGGAAGTCTGTTGTGGGCACTACTGGTTTGAAAGGCGACGACTCATTCCTCAGAAAGTGGAGTACAGGCAAGGCCAGCAGCCACCTTGATTTCAATGCATTTCCTGACATAGCAGTGTTGATGAGGTTTACTACCGCATCTGTGACCTCCCTACAGGAAGATAATTTAAGAAATTGAAATATTCCAAAAGTAGTGCTGTACATCATAGATGTAATATGGAAGTTCACCAATAAGAGTACATGTACAGTTATTGTACATGTACATCACTTCGAATCCTTTACATTTGTTTGTTTACATGTTACTAAACTCTCAACACAATAGGGAAGGCCATATGGACATGTTTATTCCTTCCAAAACAACCAAACCTTGGTTCAATGATGATTGCAAATTTGCAGTTCAAAATGCAAACAAAATGCTTTCAAAAGATTGCAAAATGTCCAGACTGATCATGAATCCTGGGCCTTGTATACTAAGTCTAAGGCGGAAGTGGGCGAATTTGTGAACCAACAAATTAAATTGGTGTGGCCTTAGAAAACAAATCATTTTGTCAAAACCCAAATTTGCACTGTTATCACATCGACAAAATTATATGTGACAATTGCTCAACACATACTAGATACACGAAAGATAATTTGCACAATGAACAATTCAGCAAAATCCTTAAACATCACTTACTTCAGCCTTCCATCCTGGTAGAAGTGAAGAGAAAAGGCCTCAACTTCGTGGCAACTTTTGTCCTTTACATCAGGCCTGATGAGGAGCCCCTCAAACAGGGTGTGTACCTGTTTCTCAGTCAGGGCGAGACTGAACCTGTTCACCAGCCAACACAGGGAGAGGGCAGACACAATTCGTGTCTGGGCTTCCTCTGGGCTCTCCTTCTTGTGCTCCGTCTTTTCCAGTTGGTCCAGTTTCGGACTGATGTACTCCATCAGTACCTGTAATAAAGTATTATTGTTTCTTAAAATATGTTACAGTGTATTACTAAAATTATTTCATGCTTAGGCCACACCAATTTAATTTTTTGGTCTGGGTTTCGCCCTGTCCATTTTTTTCTGATTTGCAAAAAAAAAAGATACAAAATGCATAATCCATTATATAAATGAAAGACATATTTTGGCCCCAACGGTTGAAGAAAGTCCTATTCTTCCTACATTGTAGTTGTTAAAGTTTTTCAATGTAACTTTGTTTCATCAAAAGTTAAAATCTATGTCTGTTTTATTATAAACTAGCCTGGTACTATGTTGACTTCATGGCTCATTTTGTAACATTTCCGGCCTTCATGGGGTGTCTTGGCTTGTTTTTTTATTTTATTTTGCCCTGTTGCTTCATATTTTTTCTGGAAAAGTCTAAGAAACAACAAATTAAATTGGTATGGCCTAATAGGTATACATGTATTATTCAATTAAGTTATTCTGAAAGGAAAGAAATATTATAATTATCATAATACTCCCATAAGAAGGACAAAGCAAATGACTGAATCAATGAAAACACACTCTTACTTTTGTGATGGAAAACTTTCCAAGCTCCCACTTCCAAATACGATAGTCAGCCGAAATCGGGCTGTTCTCCATCCAACGGCACACATCCTCAACATGCTTCATAACATCACATGCTGGTTGCTCTTCAGCATCTTCATCACATGTGAAGCCTTTCCATTGTGGTAACCATGTGTGGAGGGCAATCTGGCGATCATGGGCAACTTTCTCCTCCCTACTAGTCCAACCTATGAGTGTCTTAACCTTTTCCTTAACTCCAGATCCATGCTCCATTTGCATTGTATCATGGTACAGGTGCACTTCACCTACAGTAACAGATAATGAAGTACTTTTGATTATACAGATTCAACAGTCAGGTCAGATTTACAGTTAGTGGAACATTCATCAATGAGTGATGTTTTGAAAGGTAGAAACACATACCTCCAAATTTTCTATTATAGCATCTAGTTGTTTTCTATGACTACATAATCAATACTAGAGGTCAGAGATCTCATGTCTTCATCAGAGGGACATTGTTCTAAGATAGACGAACATTTTTTAATACTAGAAATAAATTTGGTCTAGAGTACAAAAGAATCTCGGAACTCCTTTTTTTATTCTACAGAACACCCCGAAAGGGTTTGCCACAGATTTACAGATGCACTGTCACCATTTTAGGCCCCCCCTAAGTTATTTGATTTTGTACTGTTACTGGAAAAAAATGTTACCAAAAATTCTGCTTCTGTATTATGATCAGAGTGCCACAATAGTGTCGCAAAATGTAATGAGAAGATGTGATGAAAGGAAAGAATCAGAACAGGGGGACATTTATTGCTGTTTTCGTTTGTTGTTACACTATGTTCTTTTATTCAATTTGTCCTAACCTTTGTATTTCCACAGTTACATGTAGTAATATGCTCCAAATCTATGCATCTTAATCATTTTTTTTGGCCGTTCCGTTCATGTATTTTATGGCGCTTTTGCAATAAATTTAAGGTCTCCAGTGGACGTCATCCATAAAAATTACTTGATCTGGCCTTACAATTTAGGGAATGACCTGCCTGAGGCATGTCCAACTTTCCCTCCCCCACAGTATTTATAGGACAGCCCCTCCATTGTAAGCAATTGATAACAGATGGGGAGAGAACAGCTGTCTGCCATCTGAATCAATGCAGAGGTTGGTGGGGGTAAATCATTATAATCTAACACAAAAGGTCCACTGCAGTGACATTGGGACCCCCCGCGAGGCCCGCTTTTGAACTTGACTTTGGCCTCTACAATGGTGGCTTGCCTACCTAAAATCATGAACATTCATTTAAATATACTCTGACTTTTTTTTTTTTATTTTGCTAACAAGTGACAAACACAAAAGGTCCACTGCAGTGACATAGGGACCCCTACGAAGCCCAAACGTGCCCCTGACGTTGGCCTCAACAATGGTAATCTGCCTGCCAAAAATCATGGACGTCGAATCATGCCTTCAAGAGTTATTCCGCTAAATCCACAGTCACCCACAATACGGCAAGACAATTCCATAGTCTTTCTGACGAAGACAATTATAAATTTTAAACCAAATGTACCCGTTGACACATCTTGAGCTCTCAATTATAATTATAAGTGTGTATGCTGGAATACCTACATGTAGTATAAAATTTTAACATGCTAAAACGAGCGGCCCCACATATAATAAACACTTACCTCCTGCTTGGCACTCTTCAGGTGTAAGCTTGAAGCATCTGTTGAAAATCAAACTTTTGCTCATGTGACAGTGGATGAATTCCCACTTCACACGTTTCTCAGGTTTCTCTTCTTGTTTTACAACGGCATACTTGAAGTGCACATCTTTGTTGCTTATCTTCTTAGGATTCATACTGCATTTGCCTTCTGCTACCAGATAACCATCTTTCAGATTCCTGTAGAAAAAGTAAGGGTCAGAGAATCTAAACATGCATAATTTCAATACTTTTCTAAGGGAAATGCAGGAAATTATTGTTTAATTACATGGGAAACTTGTATGACATTGTGTATCATTTAGAAAATGTCCAGCAATTCTAAATGAAATCATTGCGGTAGAATGTGTGCATAGTATGGTATACTGAAATTGTGAAATACAGTGTTGAATGATTTTATCAATTCTTATATCAACTAGAGTTCCCCGATCTCATACCTTCGCCAAATGATGTTAATCTTTATGACTGACAAATTATACATTAGATTATTCCCCCCTGATTTAACAAATAGGAACCTAATTTTCATGAATTATATCATTTTATCATAATCTAAACCAAAAGGCAGTCTTATATTAACAAACAATGCATTCTAGTTTTTCCTAATAAATTATGCAAATGAGGTCCTGATTTGAATAAATTATGTTTAATGATGTTCACCTCAACTTAACTTTCAAATACCACAAGTATGAAATTCCAGGCAGTTATCATTACATAATTATAAAATTTTCTCATTAATTATGCAAATTAAGTCATTATTAACATAAGCAATATCTGCCTGTGTTTCTCTCGTTGTCAATTACCAATGTCACAAGCTTCAATTGTCCTATCATGGAATGCAGCTGATTTATAGAATTTCCCCATAAATTATGCAAATTACATCCATATTTGCATAATTGTCACATAATTATATTAAGCATCGCGTAAGCTACCTACATACCAAAAATCATGACGATCCGTCAACCGGTTCTTGAGTTATCCCCTTTTGAATATTTTCAAGAATATATCCCTGCAGTTCCAGAGCAAGCCGCTAGGGGGCCCAAACTCACGTCACTTCTTCCCCAGCACAAGAGCTACCTACCATCCAAATTTCATCACCATAGCATGTCTAGATCATGAGATATCAAAACCGGAAGTTCAGCTGCAGTACTATAACAAGCCGCTAGGGGGTCCAAAATCTAATCATTTTGAGGTCTCATCAAGACCTACCCACCTACCAAGCATCAAGACAATCCATCAAGGCCTTCTCAAGTTATCGTGTTTACAGACAGACAGACACACACACACACACATACACGAACGCCTCTGAAAACATAACCTTCTTGGCGAAGGTAATTATGATATTTCTTGAGTCAGAAAATTGACAGTTACTTACCGTGTAATTTCAAGCACAGCAAGGCTCTTCCAGGCAACTATGTCACTTTTGACATGAACCCTCTCCACCTCGAGCTCTGGCTTCATTTTGAAGTCAGGGGAGACAAGGACATGGAAGTGCAAGGTCATTGTTGATCCTCCTTCATCCTGGCCAGTCAGTTCCGGTTGGTGTAAAGTCTTACTGGGTGGGGACCTGGAGAGGAGATATAATTTGGAATGTACCGGGTATAACACATACAGTCGCCCCAGTAAGAAAACATCCAAATATATGCAAAAAAAATCGGACAAATTAATAGTACTTTGAAAGTAACTCGTATGGGCTTGCAATTGGCTCTCATCTTGTAGAATATAACGATGGATGTTTCAATGTGTTTCAAGTACAACTAAAACTGTGTGAAGTTTGGTCGCGGCGTGACCAAGCTATCAAAGGTTACAGTCATATGACAGCAATTACGAAAGTTGTAAATAAAAGTAACAATAAGAACAAAATTGTACACCAAAGGTTTTCTGGTCCTGAGACTGTACTCACTGATTTTCCTGTTCTTTCTTTGTCATGTCTCCAGCTTCTCGTCTCTTTCTGTTCTTACGTTCCGCCTTCTTCTGTTTTCTCGTTTTTACTGGGTCATCCTGAGTGTATAACCATACAAAGCAAGTACATGGTGTTTTTTTCTATATATTATATAGAAAAAAACACCATGTACTTGCTTTGTGAAATATTTTGATCAGATTAATACCCACTGATACTACTTGTAATAGAAAATAAGCGAAAGTGTTGTTACAGTAACAGATGCAAAGGGTGACTTTTTTTTCCTAAAATTGTTTTCTCTCTCAAAAAAAAGTAACATTTCAGATAAAAATCAAGGGGAAGAGACAAACACATAGGCTACAATATTGACTTCAGTAACTTAAAAGATTGTGCCAGGTATTATTTCAGTTATAACAAATTTCAATGTGACTAAAATACAAACAACCCATTAATTAAAGAGCATTGACCAATCAGAAGCCCCCATTCCATATTGATTATGACGCCATAATGTCACAGTTAGCATGATACAAGTATTGCCAGGTGTGTTTTATTCTCACAAGTGTGCTTTGTTGCACAATAAAGCATGGCCCGGAGCAAACCATTTGCAGAGGAGTGGACTCTTTTTGCTGACATTTGTAGCACGTTTCCTTGTTGAATAGAAATGTTTACCGTCTTGTCATCACCCACTTTATTTAGCAATACATAACAAAACGATCTCATACCTTCGCCAAATGATGTTAATCTTTATGACTGACAAAGATGATTCCTTCTGATTATACAAATAAAATCCTCATTTGTATTTTATTTATATTATAATATTGTATTATAATATTGTAATATATAGTTGATCATATTCTCCATCAAAAGACAGCCTTACAATGTATCTTAGCAAAGAAAGCCATTCTATCATTTCCTCATAAATTATGCAAATGAGGACCTTATTTGAATAAGTTTTGTTTAATGATGTTCACCTTCACTTAACTTTCAAATACCCCAAGTATGAAATTCCAGGCAGTTAGCATTATGGAATTATAACATTTTCTCATTAATTATGCAAATTAGATTTTAATTTACATAATCAATATCTGCCTGTGTTTCTCTCGTTCTCAATTACATATGTCACAAGCTTGAATAGTCCTATAATGTAATGCAGTTGATTTATAGAATTTCTCCATTAGTTATGTAAATTAGATTCAGATTTGCATAATTGTTGCATAATTATGTCAAGCGTCACTTGAGCTACCTACATACCAAAAATCACGACGATCTGTCCACCGGTTCTTGAGTTATCCTCTTTTGAATATTTTCAAACAGATAGCCCTGCAGTTCCTGAGTAAGCCGCTAGGGGGCCCAAACTCATGTCACTTCTTCCCCAGCATGAGAGCTACCTACCATCCAAATTTCGTCACCCCAGCATGTCTAGATCATGAGATATCAAAACCGGAAGTTTAGCTGGAGTACCATAACAAGCCGCTAGGGGGTCCAAAATCTAATCATTTCCAGGTCTCATTAAGACCTAGACTTACCTACCAAATATCAAGATAATCCATCTAAGCTTTCTCGAGTTATGCTGTTGACAGACACACAGACAGACACACCCACAGACACACGGCCAGGAAACCGTCTTGGCCAAGGTAATAAAGACCATGTCAATACCATGTATGTGAATTTTGAGGGAAAGACAAGAAAACATATTTTGCGCCACCCCCACTAGTAAGTACATGAGGGTCTACATGGGGAGGTCCTGGCAACGGTTAACGATAAATTCAGCAGGGCCGATAACGCTTAACGGTAAATTCAGGAGGTCAGTAACGCTTAACGGTAAATTGACAGCCATTTTTATTCGAGCTTCACTTGATATGGTATCTAAATTTGTGAGAAAAAGTGATCGCTGACAAAACTAAGTGTACTTTATGAAGCACGCATTAAATTTAAAGGTACTTCACACTAGTGTTCCCTGTGTTCCCAGCCGTCGCAAACAGCAACAGGAGAGACAGCTTATTGAGCTTGTGACTCCTCATTATATTTCTGAATTGAATCATATCTAATTCGAAATGATGAATTATTAATCATGGTGCACTCTATGATATCACTATTGTCACCGACGTTACCGTAAACGTGACATGATTAAAGGCATCAAATTCTATTTTAGGGCGGCAAATCAAAACAAAAAAACTCAGGATGAGGACACCTGTCTGATATTGACATTTACTGTCATTTCTGAACACATTTTCGTCATCATTTCAAATTCTAAGCATTTGAAATAGCCCCAAAACAAGCTACGTGACGCGCCTCTTATTTACGGGTAACGCCATGAATACAATGTAGCTGTAACGAGCAGCGACAGCCTACGGTACAAAACAAGCACACTTTTACCCCAGAGATATGTAATTTGGGATAGGATTCAACTTACTACATACTACATGAAAAGAATTACCAGAAAATTGACTTTGAAAATCCAGTTTTGCCACTCAGTGGTACGTCCACTGTTCATTTTGCCTGTCGAAAAGAGCTAGCTACATGTAGGGGAACGTTCCCTGTGCAGTGAATCTGTAAATTTTGTACATGGCGTCTGTAGTCCCAGTGTCAAGACCAGTGGAAGAGTAGCTTTTCAGTGAGTTAAAACTGAATTACGATCACTTTAAAGTTTCCAACTTTATCCAGCAGTACCGTTCGAATTGTCTATGAGTATCGTTTACCTGGATATCTAACCTTCATCAAAGTTCACTGAACCATATGCATGAACACGCACACGTACAGTTTGTGTTATCTAGATTACAATTACATTTAGGTTTAGTTCGTAGAATCTTAGTATTTCTCTTACCGTAGTAGACCGGCCGGTTCAGTCGTATCAACGTTATTTCGTTCCAAAACCAGGCGTCTCTCACACCGTTCGGTCTAGCCTTAATGGCACTTCTTATTCCAAGGCTATATTTACCTGTAACGTTACACCTGCCAACTGACAATATCTCCCATCAGCCTTTGCGCGAAAGTGTCTTTTGTGCTGAGGCACTGCAGTTGATTGCCCTTTGACATTGAGACAAAAAATAAGCAAAGGTTTGAAGAACGTAACTTTAGATGAGTTTGCAGAGTCTGGCTAGAGTCGAAGGGGGTCAATGTAGGGGGGGGGGTCCGGGGGCATTCTCCTCAGGGGAATTTTGTATTTCTAAACCTTCAATGACGCATTTTCCTGCCTTTTGATATAGGCAAAATTAGACACAACATTGGTACATAGGAAATGCCACGAGAACAAGGTCAATAGGGTTCAGCCCTCCACAGAGCCCTCCATATGTGACAGAATATCCCTGAAGTTCGTCCAATGAGCGCTATAGGCAATGGCCATCTTCGGACGAGATTCTCGTGCCCATCGCAGCATTTGTTTGCAATGATTTGCGAAGGGTTCTGGTTCTAGGAACGGGTGGGGCTGTTCTATGGTATACATCATCCGTCATGGGGTACGTGTCTGGCTTGAATGCTGAAGCCACAAGCGGACGCTCCGAGAACTGTTTGACGTTTTGACTACGAAGCCTTCAAGGTTTAGGCGTAACGAAGAATTATTCATTAACGCTTAACGCTAAATTTAGGATGACAAACAACGCTTTACGTAGAAATAAAATGACAAAGAACGCTTCACGATGAATATACTAATAACGCTTCTTAACGTTGAATTAGAGCGAGCCAGCAACGATTTACGGTGAATTTTAAAAAATAGCCCATAACGCTTAACGGAAAAAGGCATGCAGGCCCTCGTACATCTCCAAATGACCTCAGATGACTTCAAATGGAAGCTTGTTCTATTCTTTTGGCCCAAAATAACCACAAATGGAATGCCAGTTCTGTTCCGAAGTTGCGGTGAACTCATATGAACTCTGATAGAACAGGTAAAATCATCACACTAAAGGGCATACAATTTTAGACAATGGTGTGTCAGACTTTGTCATAGAAGAACTGATTGATGCCAACTTAGACTCAATATGTGGGTCCTTGAAATCAGGAAAGATGCACAGGAACAGTGGCCAGCGGACGGGAAGATAGAGGACTGACTGTAACGGTTTGTTATATAATTTAGATGTGTGTTATACAGGAATGTGTTAACGTTACTCTCTACTGTGTAAGTTTTGATAGGCTATATGATAATAGCGCTAATGGCCCGCCCTTTCTCGGTGAATATGGTGTGATAAAGCCTTGTCAGTTGCTATAACCACCTCATAAAGCCACCTCATTCGCTGTCGCTCACTCGATGGCTTTATTCGGTGGTTATAGCAACTGACAAGGCTTTATCACACGTGCACCATATTCACCTCTGGGCGGGTCATTAACCCTTAATTATGATACCAATAAAATTGAAATGCTACAGTTCCTGAAAATTGTCCAACGTGATAGTTTATATATTTTCAATGAACAAATAGCTTTGGACCAAAACTCTTCAGATGTTAGGGAACATCAGAAATTTGGCACATACACTGGTAGAGCCAAAAATGTCTATAAAATGTTAAACGGACAATAGACATGATTTAGACATTGCTGAACAAAGGCCAGTCGGAAGAACATTAAGTAGACATAGTTACTGAGAAACGACATCAAAATAACCCCAGGTGGACATTTTATATCCATAGTCTCTTCACACGTCAGGTAGGGACACCCCTAGGAGACAGTCCTTTGTTTAGCACAATGCGCACTTATAAGATATTAGCATCTGTCGGTTAATTAATTGTGTCCTGCTCTGTAAATTGTCTTGGCTTTGTGCAGTGCATTTCATATGCATGTCAGTTTTCACACTTTTTTTTCTAAAGACATTCTGACAGACACCTCATGAACAATGGAAAACACAACAAGCAAGTCCTCCCTGTAAAGCCCCTGTTCAGACATTCTTAGAAATGTTTGAAAAATGTCCGGAATTTTCGAGAATGTCCAAAAAGGGTCTATTGTCCGTTTAACATTTTATAGACATTTTCGGCTCTACCAGTGATAATCCTTCCAATTCTAAGACTTGATTTCTGCCGCGAGTAAATCTAACCAAATCTGAATGATGTTACGGTGAGCATGATTTAGAACCTGGCATCCCTGCTTGTAAATAACATTCTTTCCAGAAGCAAACAATACATTATTGCAGGTTAAATGTTTCCTTTTATTTGCTTCTCAAATGAAAAAGTTTCACAAGCCGTGGTACCAGTATACCTGTTATGTTTTACTATTTTCAGGAACTGTTGCATTTCAGTGTGATTGGTCTCATATTGTCTTTAATCTTACTTGATCATCAGATGTAGAAGGGTCATCCTGACTGTCTCCCTCATCTTTTCCATCTCCCATGCTTGTCTCAGCAGAAGGCATGTCTTGGGTGTCCTCACCAGGCTGACCAGTCTCCGGTACTGAAGTCTTCTCCTTCCCTTGTCTTCCATGTCTTCTCCATGGGCTGTGTCCTTGATGGTATCTAAGCTATGCTCATCCTTGGGAGGGTGGTGAATGATTTCTTGTACGTAAGCTTTGGTCTGAGTTCTTTCAGCAACTGGTTTAGCCTGCTCTGATGCCTCTGACCCAACAAGAGCCTGGGACTGTGGCTCTTTGTCCTCTGCCAGTTCCTGTTGAACCCTTTCCTTACTTAGTTTCCCATCCCCCTTCCGTGATTCTTCGTCTTTGTCAGACTTATCTGCTACAGTCTTTGTTGCATCACCTGGTGGCTTAGGAGGACACCTCGCCTCTAGATCACCTGGCAGCCCTTTACTGGTTTCTTGAACAGGACTCTCCAGCTGGACGGACTTCTGCACGCAATCTGCCAGCAGGATGGCTGGAGAAACTGGGCCTTTATCAGGCAAAGATCTCTCCCATCCTACATGTAGGCTGCTTGTACTATCCTTCAAGGACTCTGGTCCTCCTTTGTTGCTGTCTGGCTCTTCTGTAGGTTTTGCTGTTTGTGACAAAAGGGACAACTTCTTAAGCATGAGCAGCACACAGCATTTTTCCTCACATACGTGTAGTATTACAGCAGCACGTTGGCAGAATGTACTGCACCTGCGCAAAACCCATAATGTATTGTGCATAGCACTTCGGTAGAACGTCTCATATAAGGTTGTATTCGCTCATATAAGGTTAGCATTTCGACAGTAGTTTCCAAAGGTTGTATCAGAAAAGATATCCTCTGCAACAGTGAAAATTCTGTTGCAACGCTGACCAAAAATCCAACAAAAAACGCAAAAATCCAGGGTTCTGCGCAGGCGCAGTACGTTCTGCCGACGTGCTTATTACAGCTGGATAAACATTTAGGCTTCTTGGAGCAATTTGCAGAACATATTTAACATTCAGTCAGTATTTAATCTCAATTTCCCTTAACACATGTACTAGTATATTGTAAGGAGATGTTACATTAAAGCTGCATCTACAAATTTTTTTTGAATGTACATAAAAAATTGCAGAAAAAGGCCAACTATCGCATGAACTAATCTCCAAGCAGATGTTGGGAAGGCTAAATTGTTATTTTTTCTAGCTGTCCATTTTGATGTCAAAACATGGTGGATGAACAAGACAAGCTGCTGGGGAAACTTAACAATTTAGCCTCCCTGACATGACGTCTGCTTGGAGATCACTCAAGAACCATGTAAATGTATACTACTCACCTGCTAACACTGCAGATGCTGTACTGGATGTAGGAACAACGACCCCTCCTCCATCACCAATGTCCTGGAATTTCTGTCTCTTCGGCAGCCGTGTCCCACACTCATGACAAAACTTCTGCTTGGCTCCCACTGTCTCTCCACAGCCCGGACACTCCATCTTCAGTCAACCTGTAACACATTAGTCACAGTTTTGAGGAACATCACACAGTACTCTTTTCACGTGCTCCAACTCACGATGTTCCATTGTTCCATTAGTGTCAGAAAGTGCTCAATCTCCTTTTGATGAATGAAATTTGAAGAAATCATCTAAAGAAAATGTATTGAATATTTTATACTGTTCCACTTTACAAGTGGCATACACCCGGTGAGACGTTTTTGTGAATGTAGCTTCATGAATGTGGTACGATAAACAGTGTGCCCTAACTTTGTACGCTTCAGTCTGTAGTTTTGCTGTCTTCAGAACTCGGTAATGAACTGAAGTGTGCAGAAATGAAAACTAAATATTTCAGCTTTCTTTTGATGGTAAATTTGCAACTGTGTGTATTTTTCACCTCACGTGAGAAGAGTTGTATTGAATGCAACCAGTCCGTATTTCAAATAAAAATTGGCTTACACTATCAATGTTAGCCTGTGTATACAAGCTCTCGGCTGGACGTTAATGACCCCCACCCCAAGAGCTTGTGGCAGAATAGCTGTAAGTCGGGCGGCCCGTTCCCTTTCCTGGAGTCACCAATAGGAAGCCAGTATTAGGAATTAATGTGGGAACCGACCGGGCCATCACGTGGTACGGCGCCAGGCAGCCGGAGAGGGGCGGAGTACCGGGCGGGGACGAAAAATTTGATCGACTGCGGGTGGGAATTTCTCAGAAAAATGGCTGCGACTAGCCCGAAACCGAGTTTCTGAGTGTGCATTCTGGAGTCAGTGTGTGTGGACTTTGGGAGTCCCTGGCCCCTAGAGCCGCTTCAGGAAAATACGATAAAATTTTTCGTTAAACAGAAAAACGACGTGTTTGCGTGTCTTCCTACCGGCTATGAGAAGACCGAGATCGTGAAACAGTGCAGAGCAAACGAAAACGGCGGGTTGACGACATTCTTGTGCTTTGTTCACGATGTTGACTCCTGTCAAATTATCGATACTTAATTGCTGGAATCTAAAATGTTACTGGGTTCTCCTAAGCGGGAGTTGTTTATTGTTTTGATCGGTAAAACGCAGGGTAAAATACGCTAGAAATTAATTACTTTGTGGGTAAAAGAAAACTCACGCCGAGGGCGAGGTCCACACTTCCGGGTTCAGCGACGACAAAATGACGCAAAAAACGCTAACAATCCGCACAGAAGTATATAATTTCCCGACTGATTCTTGAAACTATGCATTTCTTCACTAGAAATTAGAATATCGATGTGTGGTTGTGGAAAACAGCATTTTAGCGCTTATATCGAAGAAAGAAAAGTTGTTTACACGCGCGTCGGCTCGGTCAATCTTCAATACCGCCGGCGCTGCCGGAAGCGGACGCTTCAACTAATCAGAGATGCGAAATGTGGACATAGCCGAGTGAAAATCGTGACGTAAAGACAAATCCGTGGATGAGATTCTTTTCTCTCGGTGTGACTCCCATTTCCCACGAGGAAGTTCCAGAAACTTTGGAAAATAGAAACAGATTCGACTCGCGAGCGGGTGGCCGCGCCTTCCTCGGCCAAACTTCAATTTTGGGACATGAAAGGCGCGCCGACGTCCATCACTGGTTAGCGACCGACAAGCCCATAGCAACCATCTCTGTTGGGTGCCGCACCGTCTGAGGGCCGTTCGTGACGTTTGCATCTCATTAACCATATATGGCAGACCAGGGCCGTCGACACACCGCCAGCTTTACGCGTGCTTGACATCAAGCTTTTGGGGGGCGGCAACCTAGGGCGGCGGCCGCCAGGAGCGCGATTTAGTCAGGCTATATCAATGTGGTCCCATGGGAATCATGGGAAATGCATGATGATGTTTTTCTCGGGTCGAGTTTTAAAACTCAGAGACCCAAATTTTTACTGTTTTATGTTTTATGTTCTAATATGTATGTGGCACTTGTGTGACTGCTTGGTAAAGAGCAATTATATTTCTAATGGCACGAGTCGCAGCTACGAAGTGACCCCCATTATATCTATAGTGCCATCAATATTATTTGGTGAAATTCTGTTCTTCAACAAAACATTGACTATAATGATTATATAGTAAGTTTATTTCCCTTTTTCTTTAGCAAAGTCAGTGGCAACAATAACAGCGTACATAAATGCATAATAAGATAATAATAAATAATAAATAATATATTTTACTGATCTTATTATGCATTAATGTACTTGATACTTGATATCAAGTATCAAGTACATTAATGCATAATAAGATCAGTAAAATTTCCGTTCAAAGTTAAGGCACATGCAAAGTTAGGGTACCCTCAGTTGCATTGTATGTCTGATATTTTGACGTAACACAGGTTGATTGTAATGAACACTCTGTCACATAGTGAACAGCATATTGAAAATGTATGATTGTGAAAACAGTGTGAAGACTGGTGACCAAAAACAATACCTCCCGCCTCCGGTGAATTATAATCCTGATCTTCCCTCAACCCCCTGACCTGAGACTCTGTCAGCAGTCAAAGTTGATAAATCAACAAGTAGACACAAATCAATACAGACGACTTTAAGTTATTATTAAATAATTCTGCCACCTCTTAACTCCATTTACGCTCACTTCCATCTGCAGTTATTACAGAACTCCGTGAAGGAATTACAATGTATCCCTCCTGCAGCAGTAGTGTGGTCAGTCAGTTTTTCGCACTCGCAGCTAAAACACTCAGTTCCCTTTGTTTAATCGGCATGTAAAAAAATATGTCGTCTACGCAAGTAGCTGCAGGCATGCCCGTGACGATGAACATATTTTTATTTTTACCGTTTACGGTACCTGTTTTCGTGGTCAATGTAATATTTCAGAAGCACCCCTACATTTAAAGGGCATATGGGACTGGCCGCAAAATAGCTGTAACAGTTGTCTTGAATATCAGTTGGGGGGGATATGCGTTTTCTTCAAGCAGATGCAAGGGTGGGTCGTTAATTAGAAACAGCTGTACGTTGCTCCTGTTAAAGTATTAAGCTGTTTTTGGCGACGTCTCAGGGAGAAGCCTAATGGTACAGTATTGTGTGCAGTGTGCAAGAATTCTAGGAATGGTACAGGCATTTTGTCCACAGGCATGTGGAATGTCCACAGGCATTTCTCTGACCCGCATCTATGCCCACATTCCTGGAACCCTTGGGAAGACCTCTCTGCCCCGGATGGCCCTACTTTCTGTGACCCCGGGGCTCGTTCACTATACACTCTGGGGAGGAGTGCACTATCTGTCTAAAACTTAAGGCTACCTCGAAATCATGAAATCATGGCAGTGCCAGGCAAACAATAACTCGAACAGCAAGCACCGTCGCCATGTGCATGTGTTTGCAGCTAAAAGTCATGGTTCTGTTCATTGTATCTGTATGTACATGTACTTGGGCATGTAGTGTGCCATTATGTTCATGTTGATGCACATATTCTTTTTTTTATTGTAGCAGTTTTTATATTTAAGTAGAAAATAAGATTGAAGACCCGCAAGATTTCTTCTACTCTCCCCTGCAGATTTCAAATTCTTGCCGTGTGTAAGGGGTACCCATGTATTGACTGTAATTTCTATGCTTTTCGCTAGAGGGCACAGCTGTTTGGATGACTATCTTTCGTGGGGATATGAATGGGGTTGATCTGAGTAGCCTGATGATGTGCTAGCCTGGCCTGGTGGACAGTCCTGTTACCTGCCATGACAGGCATCCATAAACCCAAAAGTTCACCCTAAAAAATCTTTGTTGTAATCAGTATTTGAAGGGCACATTTGTGCAGACACCACTGACTCCCTAGCTGACACCAGTCACACAGGTCTGTAAACCTAAACTTCATGCCAAATTGTCTCACTCAATAAAGGATCAGAGTTGTACTTGGCGGTGACATCTTTATTCATGCGTCGGTGTGTCAGTGTTACACCCAAGATGTCAGGCCTAGTGCCATTTAGCTCCTAGGCAGAACGAGCAACAAGGTAGTGGAAGGGTAGAACAACTATATGTGAAATAGGGTGCTCAGTGAATGAACAGTAACAATAAAGTCGTGGACAAGACTAGTTGGTTCGTTCTCCGCCCTGAGATATAACTTCACAGATATATACAATACATACGAGGCTGTGAGCGGCATTTACGCCGAGGAAATTCTAATGCTAAGGAGGATGACTGAGGCAAACACGACAAAGAAGACTCTGATGGGGGTTGTCAGGAACGCTGCAGGATGAGGGACCGCATCCCCGCGAGTACACGTAGCCGTCACGTAGTCGTTCAACTGACGGCCGAAGTTACAAACGTTCCGCATCGGCTCTCCGGCGTGAGCCGCGACCAGAAGTGACATGTCCTTCGACTCCCCGCAGGTGCTGATCAACAGACAAACGAGGAGGATGACGATCGAAGCCGTTCCTCTCATCATGTGACGGTTGGGAGAGCCCGCCACCGTAGTTGGCGAGGGCTTCAGAGCTGGGTACTGCAGAGAGATGCTCGCCGTCGTGTTTGGTGAGGGCTTCAGAGCTGGGACTGCAGGGGAATGCTCGCCGTCGTATCTGGTGAGGGCTTCAGAGCCGGGGGCTGCAGAGGGATGCTCGCCGTCGTAGTTGGTGAGGGCTTCAGAGCTGGGGGCTGCAGAGGGATGCTCGCCGTCGTAATTGGTGAGGGCTTCAGAGCTGGGGGCTGCATGGGGGAATACTTGCTGGTCATGTGGTTGGTAACAGTCTTAGCGGCGTTGGTCAGTCCAGTGCTAAAAACCGGGCCTAGTCAGGAGAGGCTGTACTGCACTGGCGAGTGGCTTCCCTGTCTTCCGCTGTCCCTGTTGAAGGGGCAGAACTTGGCAGGGTGTCCGGCGTCCACTCCTGGTCTGTGTCTGGTGCAAAACTTGCAGGCGTGCATGAGTACGATGCCTGAAGCTGCTGTGTGGTCGGTGGAAAAGGGGCAGCCGTCAACCTGGAACCTGTAGCAGCAGGTAGTTCTGGGGCCTCCGGCTCCCTCCGTAGGCGTTTCTGACTCGTGTTCTGCCTGCACAATGTTAGCGGCTGTGCTGTTATGGGTGTGAGGAGGTCGCCGCAGATGGTCCTCCTTTAACTTATGCACTTCGGACAAGGTGGTTGTGGTGTCTATCGTGACTAAGCCGTGCTCCACGTGTATCCACAAGATCTTGTAAAAGTTCTTGATACCCAGGAATGAATACGTGGGAACCTCGAGCATAAGCCCCTTCAGAATGTGACCCCTGTTTTGACTCTCCATGTGGTTTGTATGGGGACTTAGTATAATAGCCATTTCCCCGGCCACAAGTTGATCTAACGTCAAAGAGTCGTGAGTGATGGCTGTATTGGCGGAGAAGACGAATTCGTGAGGCCAGTTCACTTCTCGAACTACTTTGTCATGTGCTTTCCTCGAGAGACCGCTACTGAGCTTCTTACCTCGGGCCGCAAGGTGTGCGTCGTCGGCAGAGACGTGTGGAAAGTGGAGCTGCGAGAAACGTCCGTCCGAGCTTCGTAACGTATCGGCGACCTGAGTCCCGGCTGTCTGTCTCTGGACGTGCTGTGTGAATGTGGACGTGTCGTTATGTAACTTATGAAAGGCCCGCACTTCTCGTGCGGTCGGGTAACTGCGGGGTTTCTGAAGAAATGGAGCTCGCTCGCGGCGGCCATCTTGGGAATCTGGCGCCAAGGCTTCTGGGATGGTCGACCTCTGACCGATGACGTCGCCGTGCGTGGGGAGGGGGGTAGACAGACGAGACGTAGATTCCGTCCGGTTTTCCAGGCCCATGTCGACCTTCATTTGCTCTATGCGTCTGGAAACGTCTAAAATTTCGTTGTCTAACTGCTCCACGAGGTTGTCTGTTGGAGTCAAAAGCCATTATCCATTCAGGGTCGCCCTCCGCAGGAGACACGGCGTATCGTGCGGGGAGTCTAATCTTTCTCTTGCTGGCTCCAAACATGGTTGGGGGATAAAACTCGGGACGGAGAGAATTCCGAGGGGCCAAAGTAAACCCAGGGGAAGGAACAATGAAAAACTGGAGTCCGAGTGTTCTACACCGAGGAGGAGACTCCGAAAAGCGCAGGAAGGTTGGAGGAGTTGCGGCCCACGTCCGTCTGTACTGCAGCGCTGCGTGACGAACTACAGAATGAAGGATTGTCCGTACATGTCCCGACACGCTCTCTTCGGGGTCACGTGTTGGAGACTCGTTGTCTCGCGAGAGTTTTCGTGCCAATTCCATCATATGGTAGCACCATCTGAACATGATCTTATATCCATTGCTCTCATCCTAGCAACCATAAATAAAGCTTGGTATCCTTTTCCCTGACTACCTGCACTGGTGCAGGTACTGTAATTCCTGATTTTCAGCCTCCGGCTTTGAAATGGAAATGCGCTTGGTGCTTAGTGGCTGGGGGAACCAAAGTTATGCAATACCTCACAGCGCCACGTAACCGCTAATAAATGTGACACAATGCTTAACCGCATGTATCTGCTAATAAGCACGACCACAAGGCAAAATTGACACAATGTCTACCGCACAACCGCACGTAACAGCTAATAATAAATCCATATTTGCCTCAATCACTAATTTTGCAGCCGGGCTCAGTTCCTGGATAAACTGGACCATCGTTGTAATGGTGGTACATTTAAGGCATTTCAGAAGGCCGATAAAGTAATGTGAGCCGCTGTGGCTCGATGGTCAGAGACGGTCGTCTTAGCTCCAGACGTCGAGGGTTCGAACCCCCGGCGGTATCTGCATTCCTTTTTTACTCCGTGAAGGAGGTCAGGACCTACGGACCGAGTGTTGTGAACGGCTGGTTTTTCGTGTTCGCAGTCAAAACACTGGGTTCTCTTTGTGTTATCGGCACGCAATTTTATACGCCGTCTGCGGGCATGCCCATGTTGATGCACGAATGTGTATTTTTGTCGTCGCTGCTTTCGCGGTCAATGTAATATTGCAGATGCACCCCCACAATTACGAGGCGAATTGGAATGGTCCAGAAAAACGCGTTGTTTGGAATAGCAGTGGGGGGGTGGAACTTCATGCAGATACGGGGTGGTTTTGATAAGTGGTTCCAGATGTTTTTGGCCGTACTTAAGAGATGGCAAGTTTTTTGGAAGATGTTCGCAGCCAAAACGCATTGTTCCGTACGTCGCATTTCTGTGTAATTTCGCATGTGGTGTGGCATTATGTCCGGGATGATGCACGTCTTTTTATTTTTACCGTAGCTGTTTTGATATTTGAGTAAATGCTTATTTTCGAAACATCCCCATGTCATTGAAATATGTTTTTACCCGTTAATGTGACCGGTAGTACTTAGTAAGTGGCGGTCAGGCTGATGGGGACAGAAATGTGAGGTGGTCAGAGGTCAACATTACGAAATGTAAATACCGATGACGTAATCCTATCGATTTCAAACTGGTCGGCTGTGGTGACCTAGTGGCGGCGTGTATTTAGTCACGTAGCAACTGGCCGGTCGTCCTAGCAACGAGCATGCTGGCCGCTTCACTGTACACATGACCAATATTTTTGGGTTGGGCCGCTCCATAGTGTTAGTGGAGCAGCTCTTTGTAAACATGGACAATATTTTTGAGCAACCCATCAATGTGTTCTGCCTCGTGGTCGGATGTGGTCTGGGGCTGGTAAACCACACATACTAGTAGATCGGGTAATTTTATGATTTGCTAGTTGTAAAGGCGTCTTGTAGTATGAGCCGGTATATGAAGAAGTAGCCTGTGTTACACAATCATGCTTTCGGCCGGATTGACGTGCAACTGTTACTAATTACAGGGACTGCCGCTGCGCTAATGCTGACTGGTTGCTTGGCCAGTCGCGCTGTCCTGATACACCGCGAATGTTGGGCAATATGCGAGTGTTCCCTGTAGACAGTCCCGGGAGTCATTTTTTTCGCACATTCCAGGAGCCAAACCAAAATACGTTCATGAACCGAGTCCAAAAAACCGAAACGTGAAAATCGGATGATCGGACCTGATGTATATTTCTCTTTCTGTAGATTGTACACACAATACACACATCTTTAGATAATCTGGCCATGGCAGGTAAAAAAAAAGTAACCCTGAATCATACTAGATTAGCGTAAATGCATGTTTATGCATTCAAAACAAGAAAATAAATTGTTTCCCGGTATTAATCTCTTGCAACATGGCGCTGAATATTGACGCAAAAATATTTCGGGCATCGCGCGCCCTTCCCCGTTGTTTAGACTGTATGCAAATCCCGCGTCACGTGTCGGCATTTCGCATCTCTGATTGGTTGTTGCGTCTTAAGATGACTGAGCCGACGCGCGTTTAAACAATTTTTCTTTGTTCGATTTATCACACTTCACAGAGAATTGTCGCCAATGGCTACTTCTTTTTGTTGCAATATATAATACTTCACGGAGAATTGTCGCCTATGGCTTCTTGTTTATTTTCTTTTTAAATGTCAATAAGTTAAATTTTTACTCTTTTGTATTTTTGCACGTCGTTGCTTCTTCAAGCATGTCTTGGCAAGCTAGCATTGCTACAATTCAAGTTAGCAAGCTGACCAATTATTTGAGTCATGAAGCAAGTTTAAACTGTAATTTCCACACAACAAATTGGACTCACACAAATTTTCATCTGTACAACTCCAGTCAAGGAATGAACAATCCACCGCTTCTGTGACGTCACACAGATAACACATATGTGACTCCGTGAGCAGTGGATCATAGGTTGCACAGTTCTAAGTTTTTAATGTGCACTGCACTGTATTACCGACTAGGGGGGACAAAGTATCTGCCAAGGGCCCATGTAAGGAAACCTATATTGGAGAGACTGAAAGATCTCTCAAGGCTAGGTTCTTAGAACACAAACGACCTAGCTCGACTACTTCGGAGGTCTCACAACATATACACATAGAATCATCTGGTCATTCAATCTCACTGGACAAAGTAAGAATCTTGGACTTAGAACCGGACACATGAACAAGGGATTCTTTGCACAAGGGATTAAAGAGGCCATCTACATCAGGGCATTACAACCATCCCTCAATGGAGACGGGGGGCGCCACAGACTTTCTGAAACCTATGATGCACTGCTCACGGGGTCACGTGTGTTATCTGCGTGACGTCACGGAAGCGGTGGATTGCTCATTCCTTGACTGGAGTTGCAAAGTCAAAAATCTGTCTGAGTCCAATTTGTTGTGTGGAAATTACAGTTCAAACTTGCTTCATAATGATTTTTATGGAGGTATTGTTTTTGGCGCGTCTGTCTGTGTGTCTGTCTGTGTGTCTGTGTGTTTCCGCACATTTGTAGCCTGCATAACTTTTGAACCTTTGGATGGATTGTAATGATATTTGGTATGTGGGTAGGTGTTGGGTAGGCAAAGGTCAAGGTTAATTTTGGGTCTCCTGGTGGCTGACCTTGGTACTGCAGCAGAACTTCCAGTTTTTGTATCTTTTGTCCTGGACATGGTATCGTCTTGATTTTTGAGTGGTGGATAGCTTTTCCTGCCAGTAATATTAAAGTGGTGTGGGTTTGGTCCTCCTAGCAGGTTGTTCTGGAACTGCAGGGGGGTTCTGGCGAATCTTTCAGAGCAGATAAATTTACAAAGGAACGATGTATTTTTTATGATTTTTGGAATGTGGGTATACGTAGCTTAGACAGAGATCTACATTATTGGATGCAAATTATGCAAATGATGACTTCATTTGCATTATAAATGAGGAATTATGGTACTCTCCAAGCAGAGGTTGGTGGGGGAAGATCGTCACCGTTTTATATATGCCTCGTTTTTTTTTGTCGCCCCCCACCCAACCTCTGCCCCGAGTCGCAACCTGAAAGGACAAGGGGAGGAGTAGTTCTTTGAGAAATGTGTCGAAGTCCCTCCCCGTGCCCCTATTTTCCGCAATCTGTGAGCTGGGAGCAGAAATAGTTTTACAAGGGTGTCCAGCGCGCTGCGGGACGAATCCAGTCAACCACGCATATCTCATTAACATGTCTCCATCTGACCGAACAGCATCACAACGTAGCAGAGTAAACATGTTTACGTTTATAATTATTATAGAGGTTCAAAATCAACACAATAAAAAATTTATATGAATTTGTTCTTCGAAGTATATTAAAATATTCTATTTTACCGTTACGTATATTCATAGATTTTAAGTGTTTCTGGTCATTATTTCTTTCTTACCTTTATGTTTGGATGCGGTGCATGCTATCTTTCTGTTCGCGCCATACTTGTTTACCAGGACAAACTCCCGCGAATATTTTTCTTATTCCGGAAAGTTTCTGATTTGCCATGTGAATTTTGTGAGCCCGTCGGAAAATGAAAACACTGTCATACCTGATCGCTGACGAGGGCACGCAGCGGCGAAACAACCACAACAAGTTTGGGTTCTGTTAGGCAAAGGGGGATGCTCTGAAAACAGAGGGACTTCCCCTTCCCTGTCGCCATCCCAACGAAAACATCCTTGCCCTCTAAGGCCGCCAAAACGGCTTTCAGCTGGTCGGGACGGACCTCAAACCCCCAGACGTCTTTAAAAACACGCTTGACTCTGTCTTCCATGTCGGTCCCGTCCGTTAGACATTCTAACTGAGTTGAACGGAAACAGGCGAGTAACGGAAAATCGCCAAGCCGTGTCGCCAGCCGGAAGTGAAGTCGCCACTACTTGTTAAGTGAGGTTTGATAGGGTAACAAATAGCTGTTAATAGCCTTTGGGTTGGGTGGGGGGCGACAAAAAAAAACGAGGCATATATAAAACGGTGACGATCTTCCCCCACCAACCTCTGCTTGGAGAGTAGAATTATGGAACTCCAGTGCCTTACATCATGGGACTTTGATACATGTAATGTTTATAATCTATGGCAGGTGGAATATCACCAGGTAATAATTATGCAAATATGGACCTAATTTGAATAATTAAAAGAAAAATTCTAGTGGTAAATGATGGGAATTTCATACTTGGGACATGTGTAAGTTAATCACAAGTTAACATCACAATGCATTTATTATGTTAAGGTAGAGGTCATTTGCATAGAAATTTATATTTACATGTCAAGTCCATATGCATATTTCATGGAGGTATGAAATCTTGGAACTCTTGTTTTAAAAGCTTTCTTGTTTGTGGCACTTTCGTGTTCACAATTTTCGTGGTCACTTCTGTACTGTGAACTTATCAGTACCATAAACAAATAATTCACCAATTTTCTTGTTTCTGCACCTGCCGCCACCGTGAGCATACATGTACATGAACATCTCCATTTTTCTCAGACTGCAAACTTTTGCAACCGTGAACATGAAGTAACCTAAAAAAAATCACTTTTTATACCAAATCAGCCTTTTACGGGTGGTGAAGTTAACTGTCTATACAGCAAACAAAACTAGTACTCAACACACACCTTTGAATTCAGTACAAAATTTGATTAGCATGCATGTTACAGTGCAGTTACATGTACATTCATTGCGGGTTCTAACTTGTACAATTTTGTTGCCGTAGAATGTCAGGCAGGGAGCTGTAACAGAACCAACTGTTAACAAGAGTTCCGAGACCCCATACCTCCATGAAATATGGGCATGATATGTAAATGTAAATTTCTTCTTTAATTATGCAAATGACCTCTGCATTAACATGATATATGCATCGTGATGTATGTTAACTTTTGAAATTTGAATTGAAGATTGAAACCATTAAGAAATCATAGAATTTTCACATTAATTATGCAAATTAGGTCATCATTTGCATAATTAGTATCTGTTGATGTTCTGCCTGCCATAGGTTACATACATTACATGTATGAAAGTAGTTAACTTATATATATAATGTAAAACACTGTAATATTATAGAATTTCCTCATTAATTATGCAAATAAAGTCCTCATTTGCATAATTTGCATTTAATTATGTACATCTCTCTCTCAGCTACCTACACACCAAAAATTATGAAAATATGTTGTTCCTATCTGGACTTATTGGCTTTTAAACATTTTGCCAGAAAGTGCCCTACAGTTCCAGAACAAGCTGCTAGGGGGACCAAACTCACAAGACTTATTTCTGACAGGAAAAGCTATCTGTCACCAAAACATCAAGACCATAGCATGTTCAGGACAAAAGATACAAAAAAAACGGAAGTTCTGCTGCAGTACCAAGTACGACAATCATAGTACAGTGTATGTGATCGGGTCTTTGGTTAATCTAAGCATGTACCTGCTCTAACCTGCATATGCAGGTGGTATTTTGTTAGCCCTGTTGAAACAAAGATCAAGGTATTGAAATATTAGGATTAGACCTAAAGGCTTTCAGGTACATTCAGCAGTACCATATTTCTGGGAGGCCTGCTTCTGAAACCAGTCTGAGCTGGTTCTGTTTGGACAGTTCCATAGTAACAGTTACTGTAAACAAGACTTTGTATTGAGTGATTGATTGCTAATCCACACAGATTCAGGGCCACAAAGTCCAGATTGCGCCATTATGTGGTTTCACAAAGATACATGTAGCCTGCTTGGCGCCTCGAGAATGAAAGTGAAACCAGGTCTGCGCTCACCGTAACGCCCAAATGGAAAATCAAAATGTGAGTCATGGAGTTGGTCATGCATGACGGCAAGGTCTAGAGCAAGGAATAGAACAAGTCTATTTTGTAGCAGATGATTCGATGATTCGAGTTGTGGACGGTATAGAATATAGGTCTGCCGGAATGGCAAATACTTCTGCCCAAAGTTACCCAAAACTTACCACAGTCTTGTTGTTTGTGAGCCGCTCCAAACCGCAAGGTCCCAAATTGATTTGACTGGACGTGACGACAGTTCTTAACCCGGACTACCCGGAGTCTACTCTACTCTAGTAGTCTCTACTCAGCCGACTCTACATGTACTCTACTGTGACTCTTGACACTTTTCTTGATAAAAAAAAGTGGTCTAAGATGCACAGTTGTGTGGACGCTGCTCATAACGTCTTGTGAAAATCCAAGGTGTCGACAAAAACAGGTCGACAAAAACAGGTCACGGGGCCGAAACTAACGGGAACCCCGGACCAATGGGACAATGGGAGCGATGGTGTCATGGACTTCCCCTTAGTTCAAAGGTCAAAATTTGTGCGCGAACTTCAAACATTCACTTTCGTGACATATAATGGACCTCTACCAGCTTTCCTAAGGGGGGTAGGATTCGTCAAAAATAGGGTCTAGCTGACCGGGGGAGTGGGTCAATCGGCCGTTACGGTTTTATTCTCTCCTTGCAAATAAAATCAACGATGACCAAATTCCCCTGGTTGAGTATTCTCTCTATTTAGTCCATGGGCCGAGACCGTTTTTTGTACCACCGAGACGGACCAGTGCTATCATAGATTTTTTGAATCTACAATAACCAAAGTTTATTTTGATGTATGATAGCAAGTCTGAATGAGTAGCTTTCTTGGTGTAATCACGTGACCAAATGACGTCATCAAAATGGACCTCGTGCCTTGGGACTAAATCCAAAGGGCCGGGAAAAAATATCAAACATCAATGATTCTCGGCGAAAATTGGTTTGTAGACGAAACATGCCACAATAATCACAACACAATAGATTTTTTGCCGATATTCTGCATTTTTAGGAAGTTATACGCCTTTAAACTCCGATTTTGGGGGTAATTTTTCGTGTAAAAACTCATTGTTTACTTTCCAAAATCAGGCATTTACTCAGGCTACCTATGGGGCCTTGTGTAACAAATTATAATGACTGGCCATATTATGCGCTGCATTTTGGGCTTTAAATCAACAAAATCGGTCAATGCTATCTGTAGTTACGAGTGTTTAAAGCATTGCACCCCATCAGGCTGATTATCAAATCGGCGGGAATATAGCAATGCATCATGGGTAATTTGAAGACAGTGTGACTAAGAAAATGCGTCTTGTGCCCTAGCATTAAACCCAATTGACCTGAAATTTGGTATGGGCGTGCCTTGGACATCTACCTAAAGGACGTTGTTAACGTTTATACCATTAACAACGTGAAATGACTTATTTTTGAACTTTTCAGCTACTTTCCGACCATAAATGGTTAATTTAAGAGTCATTGCAGCACGAGAAAACCAGGCAGAGGTCGGAAGATGGGGGTCGGCCAAATCGACTCGAACTTTGTATGTGAGATAGGTATGGGGAACAGTGAACAGCCATATATCTAAAACCCTCCAGATATTTTTCATTATGGAGATCTGGGACCCCCCTCCGAGAGCCTCCGAAATCAGGTAATTTATGGCTGAAAATTACTGAACTTACGATGGCTGCACTGATGATTCTGATACAGATAATGAATGGTAATGTGTAATTCGGGAACCTGACACTGTTTGCCAGGATGGAGAGTGTGGTCTCCTGTCGGCAGTTGATGCAAGAGGAGACCCTTTTCGATTTCATTGTTACCAACAAACGCTTGTGTATATGCCACAAAAATGTTGGTAAATATATCTGATCGAACAACTCTTACATGTACATCATCCAAGCTTACACTTAATAATATAATAAATATCCAATCGTCGTCATCTGTATCACTGGTCATGGTTTCATTGTCCAGCATTTCCTCGTCCTCCTCATCGTCCCTGTTACTACAGTCTTTCACTTTACACATGTCCGTACACTTCAGGCCACTGGCAAGGCAGGTGCATGTAGGGAGGGTGCACGCCCGGGAACTTGTACATATTAGAAACTCCATCACCGCCGCCGGCGCAGGTGGTGACTGCAGCCACTTTATGGCGAGGTTACCATCCTCGTCGATTTTCCACCCTGACAGTGTTGGGCTTGGTACATTGGGATCATTCATCGGACATCTTCTCCAAATGCAAGCTTGGTAATTTGCCCGTTGAAGATGCAGATATAGGCTGTCTCGAGACGGTGGTAGTTGACTCGACTCGATGTTTCCTCTTTTGGATATGAAGAGATGGTATCTCATTTCATTTACTTTGGAGACAGTGGTGCGTGGCACACACATTTGACACGTAAAACATTCGATCTTACTGAAGAGCTCATCATTGGGGACCCAGCTCTCTCCCAGCTGACTGAATATGCGTTGGGTGTCCTTAATTTTCTACATAGATTTCAGGGGTGCAATCTTCCCACGTCCAGCGAAAGAACTGATGGTATCACATCCTGCAAAACAACACAAGTGAGGTTTATGATTCAAATCGCCTCATTTTGTTGTGTTTAGACTGTGGAAACGAGCAACATAGGCAACGATTATTAATCCTGCTTCAAAAAGTAGTAGGTTTTTATTAATGCTCGAAAGTGATTACTTGTAATCAGTTTTTTTTTTTTTAGTTTAGCTTAGTTGGAAACACCTACCAGTAAATGCATGTAGTCCCACCAATGCCTTGGATGCTGCTTGACCCAATTTCTTTGCCAGCTAGTCGATGTCCACAAATCGTGTCCTGTTCTTAGTGCCACTCTTGACGTATATCTTGGACAGAATCTCTCTCGCAAAGGCAACACACAGGACTAATACATCAGTGTCGTCTGCTGTGACAATTATTGCCTTGTAACCTAACTTTGCAGCATGATGTGCGTGTAGGAGTAGTCGGGTGTCTGCCTCCTCTTGAGTGCATCTAAGCTCACTGATGTATTTTGCATTCTCTGGGCATAGTTGATAGCAAGTGCACGTGTCTCCACATGTGACAAACAGTGTCTTTCCAGACAGCTGCTCAAAATACTTGTCTTTTCTCCACTCACTTGTCACATATACGATGAATGCTTGTTTGTTCTTTGAGCTTGTCAGGAAACTTCTCCATTGTTTTACTTTGTGGTTGGCTTGGATGTTCCTGTACTCGGCACCTGACCCTCCACCCCTTTTCTCTCTTTCGGCATTTTTAATAGATCCATCTCTATAGTCATCAAAGACAACATCGATCCTGATGCTGGTACCACCTTCGTTGAGAACTTTATGAAAAAGAGTTTCGGCAACGGCAGCAAATGACATGTTGTCACCTTTCAGGCGTTGGACTTGAGCCATCCCATCTATCACACATGCTGAGAGCTGGGGAATATCATCTACTGCTTTCGCATTCTTCAGCAATTCGTTAGTCAGGGACGCCTTGTTGGTTTTACGCAGCAAACCATCCGGGGTTGCTAATGACCATGGCAAAGGTCCGAGGGCATGGGACAGAACTTCCTTCATCTTAAGGTTTCGGCTCTCAGCGATGACTATCATCTGAGCAAACAATTTTCTGTCTGCTTTCAGTATGACTTCTTTGTTCTTGCCCGCTTTTGCCACTATCCTCTTGTTCAGATCAATGAATGTCTTCAGTTTGGCCTTCGTGAGTTTGTCGTTGAACTTCACTTGAGGCGGATCAGATTCAAGTCGCTGAGCTTGAAATGCACGAAATGCTTCCTGACCGATATCTTGAGCTCGAAGCAAATCGGTTTCTACCTCAGGAGTGGCAATCTTTCCGGTAGAGAGACTGACAAGATCCTGGAGATCATGGTTGAGTGGATTGAGCCAAGTGGTTTGAAGAATGGATACTATAGACTGGACATCAGCTTCATCCCTTGCTATCCTTGGACTTTGTAGATCACTGTGCTGAGCTGACGAGCAATCAATGTGCAACATGCTCTTCAGTAGTTGCCTCAGAAATCTGCTTCGATACTCAGCGACAAGATAGTACTTGCTTACAGCATTTGGCTTAAGGCCGAACCCTTTCGTTCCACCAGGAGTTTGAGTGTCTTTGTTGACAGTTTCCTCACATGTCTGGTCCACAGGTATCCTCCCGAAAGGATTGTCTCCACCAATCTGAACAGAAAATCCTCCAGATTTGAAATACTGGAGAATGTCTGGGTGCTCGTCAGGTAGGTGGGACATTTCGGACAGGTATGCAGAGAGATACCGGGCATAGTTATGCTTATCATAGGCAAAGGACCATGGAAGGATGTCTGTTGATGGATGCATATATGAGAGGTGAAGATCCCAATCTCCCTCACGAGTCCCTCTCAACAGTCCCAGTAGCAACTGCACCATGTCGACATAAGACATCCAAAACGTTGAAAGCTTCCCGTTTTCATGACGGAGATAGTGCAGATAGGCGCAGAAGAGATCTGATATAACTTCAAATGATGGGCTTGCCATGATTTTTTTAAACACTTTATTGACAAAAATACAGAAAACATACAATATAAAAATACGGGGGGTAACTGATGGTGTGGGCGTCTCAGGTTTTTTTTTTAATATGCTAACGTTGGTTATGTATGTATAGTATTTGTATTTGTATTTTTATGGGCTTGCCATGATGCCGTTGATCGCATGGATTTTCATGAAGTGATTCCAGTTCTGTGAAGAAATCATCAACAAGAGGCTTTGTCCCTTCGTGATGCCTCCTTCGTGGAACCCCGTCCACACTAACCTGTTGAGAGCTTCAAACATTAGCTTATGAAACCGTATGGCACGGTTATATTTGCGACCTCCCATCACGCCAGGTACGGATCCTTCAGCAATGATCCCAGATTCAACGCATACGTCTCGTAAGCTGGCGTCTTCAAAGCGCTTGCCAATCACCGACAAGAATGTGCAGATTGTGTGGAATACTCCCATTCTCAGCACTAGGTCATTAAACAGGGATCCGTGTTTCCACTTGATTTCTATAGCTTTGGCGTACAGAGCTTGATCAAACACAACTGCAATGCTTCTGAGATTCAAGGATTCTTTGATCTGTAGTGACTTCTTCATTACTTCGTATACAGTAGACATGTTTGTTGCTGGGGCATTTATAGTGGGAAGATAACCCACCTTATCTGTTGTTACCTCTTGGTCATTTCGGACCAGAATGTTG